CCCCCCTTCGGCTGACCATCCTTAGCCCCTTTCCACTTCTCCCCTCCGCCACCAACCCCACCCCCATTCTTAGGCTGCTGCTGCTGTGCCGTAGTGGGAGGGGAAGGGGATGAAGTCTGCTGGAATTGGGGCTTACCCTTCTTGATAAAGACTTGGTTAGCCTGGGGAAGAAATTGGTCCTTCCGTCCCTCCGCCGCTAGCGTACACTCCTCCTCGATGATGTAGCTAGCGAGGGTATCCTCGTCCAACTCCTTGCGCACCTGCGGCAGCTTCAGCATCCTGCGTAAGAGGTTGTACTGTTGTGGCAACCCCTTCACGACATGAGTAATGTACGACGCCTGCGAATAATCTACGCCGGCCATCCTCAAGTTCACTAGGATCTGCTGTGCACGGTTGCAATAGGATGTGGCGGACTCGTGCTCTCCCATCTCGAGGTTAGTGAGCGCTTGCTCTAACTGACCTATATACAGGTCGTCTTTCGCTTGATACGTGCGCATGATAAACTGCCACGCGTGGAAGCCGGCATCTACCTTCATGCGACACGCCTTAAGGGCGATCTGTACGGTTGGGGAGCAGCATCGGGAAATCGTGGTGAACGTTAGTAACTGCATGGCGCGAAACTGTGTGAGAAGCACCACTGCGTGTGCTGGGGGAATAGGAGTGGTACCGTCGATGAAACGCTTTAGCTGAGCGATCTCAAGCTGCGGCTCGATCGATTCTACCCATGTCGACAGGTCGTGGCGTCCTTCGAGTGGCCTAGGCACGACGATTTTGTCTGGAGTGAATTTGAAGAAGCCATAGTTGGGGGCTATTCCCTCGTCCCTCGACATCGATCCAATCGGGGTAATGCCTGGCATAGCTCCACTATCGTACTCCTCCGCATTCCCTCCTCCAGCAACGCTCCGTCGTCCTACGTTCGCACGCTCGTGTGACGCCGCTGCGCGATGAACACGCTCCTGTATACCACCGACGCTAGCCGTACTAAACCGAGTCGTTCCTCGCAGGACCCCACGCGACACCAACCCATCAAACTCCTCGTCATCGCCATCTCCGCCATCAACAGCCATATCCCACGCACTAGTTCCTCCCGCGGCTTGCTCTACACGTGGCGAGGGACGATCGCGACGCTGACGAGCGCGTATTCCCTCCAACATGAGCTCGTAATCTTCACTACTAAGCTCACCACGAGAGCGACGAGCCACGAGGTCCTCCTCTAATGCGCGGAAATTATCGGCCTCCACGTTCGCCTCCTCCGTACTCATCCTTTACGACGCCTCTATAAGGTACCACAAATTAAAATAAATTGTCCCTTCCTTAAATCCCTCGTCTCGGGGTCACCTCACAAGGGTCCTCAGACGAGTGGTAATAAATTACCAAACGCCCTATCCTTGGGTCCGAGAACGTAACTGGAGGGACATTAAGAAAGGTTCAACTTAATTTAATAAGCGCCCTTCACTAACGCCGCACGCCAAGGCGAGTATACGAACGTCACTATAATCGACGACGGAAATCTATGCGTGTTCGTTCCACGCTCACCGCACCATGAAGGAATACTATGGAGAGCGTTACGACGGCGAGAGAGTTTCGGCTATGGGAATTGATGTTGTGCCAGTAATTCGGTAGCGTTTGGGTAGCGTTGGTCTCAAATGACTAAGTGAGAAACCAAGTAGAATTGTAATATCAACTATGAATACAAAAACAAACACACAAGATAGATATAGGCTACGGGGAGGTTTCACAAAGTTGCCGTGGCGCTGCGCAGTAACCCAACCCCACGAAAGTGGTGTGTGAGTGAGCGAACGCGCCTCGTCAACTTCCCAACCCAACTCAGCAGCGGGGTCAATGCCGAGCACGCCCTCTCTTCCAGCACAGCTAGAAGTAGCGTGACTCACAGAGAAGCCTCCACAACTCCCAAGACTCGTGCCTACGACTTCCCTAGACTAACACCACCCCAGCAATGACTGTTTAGTGCTGCCGTAGTCGTATTGCGTCACCACGCAACCATCGCAAGTCATAAGGTCGGTGTTGGGCTGCTCGTCTTGGTTGTTCATAGCTGACCTGCCGAGTCAAACGGTCGTCGAGGGCCCTTGCTGTCGTAGGGCCCTCTAACAGGATCAGGGTGTCTTACTAAGGCTGAGGAGCACTGCCCGTGAAGCGCTGGAGAGGTATGGTCTATATGACAAGCGCTATCGCCCATTAGAGAGGTATGGCCGACAAGATGAGCCCCGCAGGAACGCGCCAGTCCTATCGGCGCGAGCTACTTCAAGATTCCTCATGGCGGATTCCTCATCAAGATTTACCAGCGATTGCGACGGGGAATATTGGTGCCTTCCCTCCCATGCCGGAGCTTGGAACGTGGCAGACACCTTCTGAAGGCCAACGGAAGCCTTCTGAAGGCCAGCGGAAGCCGTCCAGCGGGAGTCGGAAGCGGAAGAGATCACGCGGAGATCCACTTCCGAGCGAGGGGGAGATCAAGGCGGCTGCTGCTAGCGACGACGACGAGGCTTTTGCTGCTCGCCTGATCGCCAAGAGGCTTCTTCCTTCCCCGTCTACTGCTTTCACAGGTGACTGCTCCTGCACCCCTTGTTTTACTCGTCTTAACACTCGAGAGCCATATTTGCTTTCTGGTTCTCATGTATGTGGCTGTGAAGGCGGTAAATATGGTAAACGTGTTTTTATAATCTCTCTGCGCATTTCCTCGAAAGGATCTGCCTGCTGCCTGTGCCTTCCCATCTCTAACGCATCTCTGTGTGTCCGTCTCTTAATGCTGTCTCAACCTTTCACCCCTGCAGAAGCGCTACAGGCCATCATCCATCGATCACGCCTTCTTGCGACCTCAGGACCTCCCTTAGACTCCCTCGGGCCCTCTCCAGTTTCGGCCTCTGCTCTCCCCTTCTCTTCAAATCTCATGGCAACTCATGCTCTCTCCTCTTCATCCCAGCTGCCTGTAGCTGACACGGCTTCTTTTGATTCCCTATCCCTTCCGGCGCCAAGCACCAGCCATGTGGACCTTTCTACCCAGGGTCTTCCTGTTGGGTCATCCAGCTATCTGAAACGTCTACCTGGAAGCCTTCCAGTGCAATCTTCCAGCGACACGGACTTACTAACCAGGAATTTCTCAGTGCAGTCCTCTGGTCATGTGGACTTGTCTACCAGGAACCTTCCTCCACAATTTTCCAGTCACATGGATTGTGATACCAGGAATCTTCCTGGTCGATCCATCCATACGGACCTTCATACCACAGTTAGAGACGCCTATGCGTTTACCGGTAATTTTCCTGCTCAATCCGGCCACGGGGACCTGTCATTGGGGAAGGTACACTCGTTGAGCTACACTGGGAGTCTCTCCGTGCAGCCATCCAGTCACCTGGCATCATCAGGCCTCTCAGGCTCCATCCCACCCATCCATGTGACGCCATCCACTTGCGTGGATCCAGCTCGCCCCTGTTTTTCTACAGAAGATGAACCCCAAAAGCTACATGCAGCAGGACCCACATTGCCGTCCATGCATGAGGGCAAGGAGTGTAGGAAGACTTTCACCTTGCCTCAGTGTTTGGGTGAACACATGTCCAGCCACAAGAGAGGTATACTGGCCACTGCTTCAGGTCAAACTTGTTCAAGAGGTGTGCATGAATTTGCAAGCCTCTGCATTTTGTTGTGTACTTCTCTAATTTACCATTTTGGTACTTACTGCAGAGGAGAGGCTGCAGGTAACGCAAAAGAGGAAGGCGGAGGCGGTTGCTCGAGAGGCCGCTGCAAGCTTATGTGAGCTGCAGATATCAACCTTGCCATCAGAAAGTTCCAGCATTGCTGACTGTGCTGCGGAGATGCTCACCCTGAAAGAGGCAAAAACTGCAGTCCCAGCAGCAAAACCAGCTGAAATTCCAGCGAAGGAAGATTGGCTTCAGCAGCCCTTTCATGAAGCAGACGCTCATTCTCAGCTGCGGCTGCTGTTGGATCAGCAGCCACTCCACCATCAGCTCACCATGCTGCCATACCATGTCCTGGTGTCTCCTGCTTTACCCCTGGTGGACACTCTCCTGCAGCAGGATGAGAAGGAGCCCCCGCACCACCAGCATGGAAGCAAGAAATGTTCTGGACCATCCTTGGTGTTGGCACCTCCAGCATTGTCCCATTGTCCTGACAGGGTTTCGATGTCAGCCACGCAGCATCAGGACGAGCGCGACGGTGATGGGACTACCTTTTTGAGTCGCTCACGAGTTTGTGACATAGATTTGAATTCTGATTCCGTGGATAATGTGGAGGGGCCTGTGCAAGGAGCTGTGTGTCTGGATTTGTCTTTGTAAATAGGCTGTAAATAATTGCTGAAATGTACATTTTACAGGGCGGCATTTCTTGAACTCGCACCTAGTGGAAGCTTGTGGTGCTCCTTGGTGGGGGATTGAGCGATTTGCTGTGCTGGTTTGTGCGCTTCGTACTGTTCGTCAGAACCTCATCTTGAAGTCGCACGTGGCATTTGTACATTCCCATTTTCTTGAGACAGCTTGAAATGCGGAAACGTATCATTGGCCAGTTTCGTGAAATCTCCGCCACAACCTGGTTTCCCATTCAGGGCCACAGCTTGCCATGTCGGTTTTCCACGTCATCGAGGTAGCAATCTGCGTGGTGAAGGCTTCTCAAGAACCGCCAGCAAGGCGAGGCGCAACGATGATTCACCATCCTTGGAAATTGAGTCTCCCTGCTTCGCTTCCACCATCTCTTTTCTTTTCTTGCTCTTCAAAGGTTCAACGCGGCTGAGTACGTTACATTTCGGTGAATGTCAACCTTCACTCACGGTGTGCGTTGTCACATGAGCAATCAGGATCAATTGGCGCCTGTTCACTACGCTCCTGCTGCTCCTGACATAGGTATTGCCGCGTCGTGTTGGTCGTCTGGCGGTGGGCTGCTTTTCTCGACGTGCCTTGCCTACTGATATAACTGGGTTTGCTCCCCTTGCGTAGCTCGCCAAGGCTTCGCCAGGTCGCGCATAGCCATCTTCAATGGCGCTCCTCCTTCCCGCGACGTGCGGTGCCCACATCGTCGCAGGCCTTCCTCCCCTCCGCAGACCGACGCGCTCCTCGTCTCACCGCGCTGCACCGCGCCATTTCAGTGCGCTAACTGGCAGAACTGTTCTTTCCCACGGGACGAACCCGAGCGCTTATCAGCTCGCGTCGCTCGTTCCGCTGCCGCTAATCGCCCACGCAGCAGCCGCGTCAGCGAAGCTTCAGCGAAACGCCGCGCTCAAGTTGCGCGCCGTCGCTCGCCAAACAGAAGCGTCGCAGGATATCCCGTCAGAATCGTCGCAGGCGAATGCGTCGCAAAGCAGGCCAGCCTCCTTCACTTTTAAGGCGGCTTCGGCGGCTGTAGCTGCAGCTGTAGCCGCCGCTACATCCGCGTTTTCCGCATTCACCGCTCCTGCGGCGCTCGCCGTCGATTCCGACGCGCTCTCCCGCTACGAGCAAATCGCCGGCAAGGCCGTGCAGCGCTCCGTCGTTACAATCACTTCCGCTGCCGCCACTGGGCCCGTCAATGCCACGTCGGCTGGGGAGGCCGCCGGCGCTGCCGTCGCCGGGTCCGCCGCTGGGGAGGCCGCTAGCGCCGTTGCTTCCGCCGTATCTGACGCCGTCTCTGCCGCCGCACCTGCCGCCGTGACTGAAGCCGCGTCGGCTGCCGCCTCTGCCGCCACTTCCGCCGTCACTTCTGCAGCGGCTGGAGTCGCCGACCTGTTCACCAGCGCCGTCCCCGCCGCCGCTTCCGCCGCCGTATTTGACGCCGAAGTGGCCCTCGCTTTCGCGGCCGCAGCGGGAGCGACGGCGCTGCTCGCGGGGGCGTTCTCGTTTCTCACGCGGAAGCAGTATGCGGGCGATTTGACCCCAGAAGCAGCTCTGGAAAAGGTGCTCGAAGCGCCTGGGGAGGAGTGGGAGGAAGAGGGCGAGGCTGTCGTTCTTCTCGACATTCGCGACGGCAAGGAGAAAAGCCGATCGGGTAACCCGACGCTGAAAAGCTCGCCGAAACGACTGGTGGCCGTGGCGTATCGCGAAGACTCTCTGAAGCGGAAAGCAGAGGAGGGCGAGGGGGACGGGGAGGACGACGACGTGATTGTTCTGGGTGATATTAAAGAGGGGTTCGTCGAAGCGGTTAAGGAGGCTAAAGCCGTCTCGGATGGATCGACAATCATCGTTATTGATAAGTATGCGACGTCACGTGCACGCTCTTCTAAAAACAAAAAAAGAAACGTCGCTTCACACCAATCTAGACTGGAGATTAATCTCAACCCGAAATTAGTCTCCCGTTTGATCAACTCTCGCGCTTCCCCTTATTTTCTCCCAACCAGGGCCGGGGAGGACGCCGTGGATGTTGCCAAGGAGCTGACGTCAGCGGGCTTCAAGAATGTCTTCGCCGTGGCTGGAGGAGCTGACGCGTGGCAGGCAAGTACTGGCTGGCGTGTCGTTGCTGTAGTTGAACTATTAGCTCGAAGCATTTTAGTGGCTCGATTCATCAGTTTGCCTTAAAGCGACGGTGCACATTTGCCACCCAAAACCCAGAACCCTGGCGAACTGTTACTGCAGATGAAAAGTGTCTGCACGAAATCCTGGTTTTCGCCAGCCAACACTTTCGCGCTGGCAAGCCTGGTTCAAAAAAAAAACTTCTGAACCCAACACTGCCAAAAGTTGCCCGTCGCTTTAAACAAAATCGCCACCCCCATTCCCTCCTTCCGTCCGTCTTCCCTCTTTTCCAAAGTTTTCCTATCTCCCCGTTTTCTCTTACCCCCTTTCCCCCATCTTCCCCCTCTCCCTCTTTCCCCCTTCGCTGTGCTCATTCAGGAGGCGGGGCTGCCGTGGAAGAAACCGTTTCTCCCCTCACTCCCCTCACTCCCCTCACTCCCCTCGCTCCCCTCGCTCCCCTCGTTGAACCTCGGAATCAACCTTGAAGAGTCTGTTTCTACAGTGAAAGAGGTCTTCACCACTGTAGAGGTGAGCTTACAATGTGTTATTAATTGATTTGAGAATCCTTCTGTTCAACCTCGGAAATCAACCTCCGAAAGTCCGTATCTACAGTAAAAGAGGTCGTTAGCACTGTAGAGGTGAGCTTATCATTGGTTAGAATATGTTGGTTTGTTTTGTATTTAGAACACTTTGAAGCATAAACGCACAAACAACTTTTTTTTTTCTACATCATCTCTTTTAATCATCTTCTCCTTGCAACATTTCTCTAAACACCTTCTTGCAGCACCCCTTCACAACACCTCTTCGCGAAACCTCCCCTTACCGTTCCCCCATGGCGCTCTCTCCCTCACCCCATGCCTCTCTCCCTCCCCCCATGCCTCTCTCCCTCCCCCCATGGCTCTCTCCCTCCCCCCATGCCTCTCTCCCTCACCCCATGGCTCTATCCCTCCCCCCTTGCCTCTCTCCCTCCCCCACGGCTCTCTCCCTTGCCCTCATCACGCCTTCATCCAGAGCGGCGCATCAACAGCAGCGTCAGCGGCGGCATCTGCTGCTCCTGCAGCTCTCGGCATTCTCGCTGCTGCTGGACTCTCCGTGGCCGTGCTGGCAGAGGTGTGTGTGTATATATAATGTATTCATTCATTCATGAGAGGAGAGGGACGGTAGTATGGTACTGCAACACTTACTGGCAGTGCAGCACTCGGCATTCTCGCTGCTGCTGGGCTCTCCGTGGCTGTGCTGGCAGAGGTGTGTGGGTATAATGTATTCATTCATTCACGACAGGAGAGCGACGGTAGTATGGTACTGCAACACTTACTGGCAGTGCAGCACTCGGCATTCTCGCTGCTGCTGGGTTATCCGTGGCCGTGCTGGCAGAGGTGCGCGTTCACTCGTGGGTGACTGGGTTTGGTTTATTGAAGGGTGCGTGGGATGGGCGGGATGGGGGGGATGGGGAGATGGCAGTGCAGCTCTCCGCATCCTTGCTGCTGCTGGCCTCTCCGTGGCCGTGCTGGCAGAGGTGCGCATGGGGTAATGCGCATGGGGTAATGCGCATGGGGCAATGCGCATGGGGTAACAATGCGCATGGGGTAACAATGCGCATGGGGTAACAATGCGCATGGGGTAACAATGCGCATGGGGTAACAATGCGCATGGGGTAACAATGCGCATGGGGTAACAATGCGCATGGGGTAGTGCGCATGGGGTAGTGGGCATGGGACAGTGGAGTGGGGGCAAGGGGCAGTCCTCAATACCTCAAGCTGAGGCACTCTCACCCTGGCTCTTCCTTCTCGCATCCCCTCACCACATTCCTTTGCAGCCCACCTGTCCTCTTTTGACAGCGCCTCACCACATTCCTTTCCTTCCTCCCCCACCTCGCTCCCTTTCCACCTCCCCTCTCCACCTCCCTCCCACCTTGTTCCCCTCAGGCTGAGGCACTCCTAACGCTGGTGGCGTCAGTGGCGCTCGTGCAATTCATCGCCACCAAACTGCTCTTTGCCAAGGTGAGGGGTGGTTGGGTTGGGTTGGGTGGTGGTGTGACGGAGCTAGCTAGCTGCACAATAAGAAAGGCTCACTCCTAGGGGTGAGTGAATCGCCTCCTCACCTGCTCCTCCTAGGGGCGATGCATGCAGCTGCTGGTGTGGCGTCAGTGCCCCCACCTCATGACAGGGAGCAGTCGCTGGCACAGCTGTGCAAGTACATGCAAGCAGGCTTGGTCTTTACCACCTCTGCTCTCCCCACCACTCCCCACCTCTCTCTACCCCCAACAGGACAGGGAGCAGACCCTGGCGCAGCTGCGCAAGTACCTGCCCACTGGTGCTGACCTGCCCGCCCTCTCTCCGCCCAATGAAGCCTCAGCAGCTGATGCTGCTGCCACCACTGTAGCTGCAGCAGCCACAATTGCTGCTCCTGCTTCCCCTGCTCCTGCTGCTCCTGCTTCCCCTGCTCCTGCTGCTCCTGCTTCCCCTGCTCCTGCTGCTCCTGCTTCCCCTGCTGCCGCTGCAGCCGCTTCTCCTGCTGCCCCTGCCAAGCCGGCACCAGCACCGTCAGTCCCTTCGCCCGCTCCCTCTCCCTCATCTGCTGCTGCCGCTGCTGCTGCTGCTGCTGCTGCCCCTTCCGCTCCTGCTGCTGTGACCCCCCCTGCTGCCGCTGCTGCCCCTGCTGTTGCCACTCCTGCTGCTCCCCCTGCTGCTCCCCCTGCTGCTCCCCCTGCTGCTCCCCCTGCTGCTCCCCCTGCTGCTCCCCCTGCTGCTCCCCCTGCGCCCCCCCCTGCTGCCCCTGTTGCTGCCCCTGCTCCTCCTGCTGCTTCTGCACCTGCACCTACTGCAACCAAGGCTGAGTCAGCAAAGGCGGAGGCTGAGTCAGCAGTATCCGACTTGCCATATGCCAATCGTCCTCTCTCCCCATACGCCCTGGTAAGGATTTTTTTAGGCGGCTCTATTTTCATCCTCTTTCCCATACTTGCAGTACTCGTACCTCAAGCCCCCCATTTCTCCTTGAATGTCAACCCAACCTTAAACTGTCCCTCTTCCCCCTCCCTCCCCCTCTTCCCCCTCTCCCCCCCTCTTCCCCCTCTCCCCCCCTCTTCCCCCTCTCCCCCCCTCTTCCCCCTCTCCCCCCCTCTTCCCTCTCCCTCCCCCTCTGCCTTCTCTCCCACCTCCTTTGCTGTCTGATTTTCCTCACCCTTGCAGTATCCGGACCTCAAGCCTCCCACTTCGCCATGCCCTTCCCCCCCCACCTCCAATGCTGCCGCTGTTGCCGAGCCTCCTGTCAAGCCTGCTGCCAAACCGGCTGCCGAGCCACCTGCCGCTGCAGCAGCAGTGGCCGAAGCACCACCAGCAGTGGCAGCACCAGATGCACCTGCACCAGCAGCAGCACCAGTTGCACCTGCACCAGAAGCAACACCAGATGCACCTGCACCAGAAGCAACACCAGATGCGCCTGCACCAGAAGCAGCACCAGATGCACCTGCACCAGATGCACCTGTCTCAGACCTGCCCTATGCCAACAGGCCCCTCTCGCCCTACAGCCTGGTGAGATCACACCCACATACACACAGATAGGGACGTGCTGCAGTGGATCTTCACTCATTCCGCTATGAGTGAAGATCACACCCACATACACACAGATAGGGACGTGCTGCAGTGGGTGCAATCTCATCCCTTCTCTCCTTCTGCCTCTCTTGTTTCTTACCACTCTCTTTTACTCCAGCAACTCACCCACCCCGTTAGACGTATTGTTTAGCTAAAACCTTCAGGCGAATTCAAGCTTGCTGCGGTTCGAACCCTTTCAACTCGGTGCAATCTCATCCCTTATCTCCTTCTGCCTCTGCTCCCTATCCTCATTCCTCCCTGCCCTCTCTCTTCCATCAACTCTTCTCCATCCCATGCCCCCCGCCACCCATGCCATCTTGAGATCTCCTTCTACCCATCCTATCCCTCTTCTACCCCTCCTCTCCCTCTTCTACCCCTCCTCTCCCTCTTCTACCCCTCTTCTACCTCTATTCTACCTCTCTTCCTATCTCTGTTGTATCTTGCCTCAAGAACTCTCCCTGTGTGCCTCCCACTTTCCATCAGTACCCGGACCTCAAACCCCCAACCTCGCCAACCCCCTCGCCTCCGAGGGCCATCGCAGCTGCGGAGCCTGCTACCGTGCCTGTTGCTGAGCCTGTAGCCGAGCCTGCTACCAAGCCTGCTGCTGTGACTGCTGCCGAACCTGCTGCTGTGCCTGCTGCCGAGCCTGCTGTCATTCCTGCATCCGTACCTTCGGCGCCTGCCCTGGTTGTCGACCCGGCAGCAGCCGCAGCAGGGGCAGCAGCTACAGTTGCTGCGGCTGGTGCAACAACCGCCGCTGCTGCTGCCACTGCTGCAGTGGCCGCTGCTGTATCAGACGCAATGACTCTACCCGTCCCTCAGTCTCCTCTCTCCCCATACACCCAGTATGCGGATCTCAAGCCCCCATCCTCGCCATCCCCAGCAGCACCTGTCTCTTCTGCTGCTGCTGCGGCAGCTGCTGCCGCCACCACTGCCGCTGCTGTCTCTGCCGCTGCGGCTGCTCCCCCTGCTGCTGCTCCTGCTCCTGCCACTGCAGCTGCTGCTCCTGCTGCTGACCCTGCAGCCGATGCTGCCGCTCTGGCTGCTGCTGCTGCCGCCACTGCCACCGCTGCTGCTGCCACTGCTGCTGCTGCTGCTGCTGCCACTGGTGCTCCTGCTCTCTCGGTAACCCCTCCTGCTCCTGCCACTTCAGCTGCTGCACCTGCTGCCGAGCCTGTCACTCCGGAAGTGACATTGGCTGATGCTGCTGCTGTAGCAGCTGCTGCTGCTGCCGCCACTGCCACCGCTGCTGCTGCAACTACTGATCCTGCCACTCTAGCGGCTGCTTCTCCTCCCCCTGCTTCCCCTGCTGTCCCGGGTACTGGGCCGGCAGTGATTGATGCGTCTACTATGGCTGCTGCTACAATGGCTGCTGCTGTTGCAGCTGCCGCCACTGCCGCCGCTGCTTCTGCCACTGCAGCCGCTGCTGCTGCCGCCCCAAAACCGTCAGAACTGCCTTAAGCCAATCAACTCTCCTCCAAGCACGCAGTAAGCCCGGTCAATAATCTTGCGTATTGCCATTTCAAATTTAACACATTTCTCCTTAGCTCCCCGCACTTGACATCCGTTCCTCCTGTTTGATCTAGGTACTTGTCTCTCCCACTCCTGCTTTCTGATTCATGTGCTCCTTCTCCTTCCTCCTCCCTGCTCTTCCTCTGATTTTTCTCATCACCACTTACAGCACCCTGCTTTAAAGCCTCTAGCTTCTCTGTTTCCGCTCACGCCCTGAGCTATGCTCTTCCCTGCAAGCCCCGCCCATCTCGAGCCATGAGATTTTCTCCACCTACTTAAATATATTACGATTCTTGACCATTGTAGTTGAATAGCAGCCAGTTATTTCAGGTGTTAGATGGAGAGGCTGGTGCAGGTGTTCTGCAGGGGCACTTGCAAAAACATTTACCGTAGCTGCAGCTGAAAGTCGCAGGGCATGGTCACGAAACAGTACAGGTGTTGCTCTGCTGCATACTAGTTTGTGAATCAGAAACACAAGATTCATGATAACATACAGAACTATCTAAGAGACTATCAAACAGGTGGTTTTCACTGAAACCTTACAACAATCTACTACAAATCAGTTTCCTCCCCTGTTCATCCATGCTTCAGCTGCATCCCAACCAAAATTCCTCCGCATAAGATCATGTCACAGTTATGTACTCAATGGTTCAGGGTTGATCCATGCAAGGGATACAAGTATAGCGCACTGTGCCACAGTGTGATAACATGAACATGCGCACATGCACGCACAAACACTTCTTGTGTTACCTGTGTTACCATGACAAATCCGAAATCAGCAGTGTCCGTGGTACTAAGATTCCACAACATCCAAACCATGCCTGTGTCCCCTACTCCCTCCGCCCACCCCTTCCCGTCTATCGAATCCGGTCCTGCAAGTCAGCAAGAATGCTGGAGGCAAATGATGACTGCGCCTGCCTCAAAAGTCTCTCCCGACCTTCCATTACCCCCCACCTTCCCACCTATCGAATCCGGTCCTGCAAGTCAGCAAGGATGCTGGAGGCAAATGATGACAGCGCTTGCCCTGTCTGCTCCGCCACAGCCTGCAAGCAAGGAGGCAAGGGGGTGGTATGGAAAGAGGTAGTGATGCATTTTGAGACACTCATCCCCATGGAGAGCCCTTCCAGTAGGACTGCAGGCATGCTCCCCAAGAAAGCACACAGGACATTCTGGACGGTGATACACACACACAAAAAACGGTTTACCAGCGACACCCATTCCCACAAAGGGTCCTCTTACCAGGTCCACAGCAATGCTCCCCAAGAAAGCGCATTCTGGACTATGGCACCCTTAGCACACAGAGACACTGGAACATGAACATAGCTTATCAATCAACACCCACCCCCACGGAGAGCCCTCCCAGTAGGTCTGCAGCAACTCTGTCCAGAGAAGCACACAACACATTCCAAATGATGACAGACTCGCGTGGAGATAGGCTTTTCATACAACCCCCAACCCCAGCATGCAACACCCACCCCCACGGAGAGCCCTCCCAGTAGGTCTGCAGCGACGCTGTCCAGAGAGCCGTCCCCACCAGCCTGGTTGCCGCCCTCGTCCCGATCGAAGAAAGCTGCACTCGATATGGCCGATGAGTTCTAACAGAACGGGTATGGGGGAGAAGGGAAGGGACTAGCATGGAAAGGATGGAGTGGACTAGGGCGGAAGGACTGGAGGAGAAGGCTGTGCGTGAGGATGGGATGGGAACATGTGGACATGAATCATGTACCAGTCCACTTTATTGCCAACATTTTACCCACTTGCAGAATAATGCATTCAGTTCGTCACTTCTACCAGTCTGCACATTTCTAGCCGCCTGATCCCTATTCTTGCATTTACCCTCCTGTACCCTCTTCCCTTCCGTACTCAACCAACTATCACACCTACCAGACCTCCTTCCTCGCTCGATCACAGTGTAACAGCACATCCCACATCCCAGCAAATAACCTAAACATCATCACGAAATTTACCGTCTCCACAACAGCCGCCCTATCCTTCCCAGTAAAAAACTTATGCAGTGCCCATTCCGTCATCCGCCATTACCTAGCGGCTCCACCTCATGTGAACATTCTCGCATAACTGAGAGCTGCTCATATTTGGCCAACCACCAAGTTGCCGTAATCACAACAACCCTCCTCTTCGCAACTGCTCATAACCCAACCCCACTCTGCGAACCAATGGCCCATCAGGAAAGCTCAGTCCAGTCTCCCGAAGCAACCTTGCGGCCTAATCCCTTCCCTCTCAAACGCACGCCACGCTAAACTCATGTTTCTTGTAGCACTTGGTTCTCTGTCGCCAATCCTTCTATTCCTCCCGTTCTCACGCCCTCATTTCTTTCCCCGTGTCCCAAAGGTGCCGTAAGCCATGTTCCTGCAACCCATCTCCAATTTCTGCACCCCACTAGGTTCTGCGCCAGCAGCTCTTTGTTGTCCCAGTAGAAAAACTACTGGCCTCCTGCTTCTCACTCTCATTTCTTTCCTCATTTTCTAGAATGTCACTGAGCCCTGTTCCTACAGCTCACCTGGAATTTCTGCAGCCGCTCTTGGTTCTGCGCCTGCAGCTCCTTGTTGTCCCGTTCAAAGAACTGCTGCGACGAGATCGCCTTCGCCCCTGCAAACTTCCTGCGAGCTTCGTCCGACTCCTCAATCGGCTGCAATACCAAGAATAAGAAACACGTGAATTGGTCCAAGCGAACAATGAGCGCATTCTGAAGACGACGACCACCTCGGGTGAAACAGACCAGACAAATCTTTACCATGCCACATGAAACAGGCCTACAAACAGTTACAAGCAGCACCGGCAGCTGTAACATATCCCAGCCAAAAACGAGACATGGGCCTGTCTGTACCTGAGGTGGGGGCTTAGGCCGGTTACTGGGAACAGCCCTGATGCCTCCCGAGAAGTCGTTGAAAAAGTCTCCAGATGCCGCGGGCGCCGCTACGTGGCCGCCTCTGCCCGACCCAGTGCCGGGCTGCGAGGAGGACGCCTCGTTGTACGTGAAGCGCGACGCCTTGTGCTCCACCACGCCCACCTTGACCGGTGCCTCTACTGGCTTCTGCTCGTACAGGCTGTCGTTCGGCTGGAGGTGCGTGGAAGTTGGGAGGGAGGAGCGACTAACAAGTTCAGTGCAATTGGTGTGTGCGTGGTTGTGCACAAGTGACGTCAGGAATTGCCGTGGAGTCAAAGACGGTGTGGAGTAACATTCGTCTTGTTTATGAGCGTTATGATGCATTCCAACGTCCTTGTTAGCATTCGGCAAGTGCCCTCTCGATTGTGCCCAAGTCTTCTGTCAGCGCATTTTCTTTTTCTGTTAGACATGAATCGTGACACTCGACAGCCAAGCATGGAGCTTCCACACCGACCCATCCGCGCTATCCCACGCATACTGACCTTCGTCGTGAGCTTCTTAACGCCAAGGCCGGACGACTTTGTGGTCGTTTTCTTCGCAGTTATGCTCGTCGTCTTCCTTGTAACGGGAGACACTCGCGACGCTGCAGCAGCAGGAGCAGGGGCAGCAGCGGCAGGAGCCGGGGTCTCCTCATCAGCCGGTGCTGCCGCTGCAGCACCACCATTCGCAGCTGTTTGGCTAGACGATGTTGGCGAAGGGAGGGACGTCTGTACGCCGGCGAAGCTCTTCGCGACTTCCTTCGCGAGAAGCTGCCGGTAGAGATCGGCGGCTCTTGAGGTGTACTTTTGTTCGATCTTGCCTCCGTCCGTCCAGCCGTGCTGCTTGAAGAAGGCACGCGCTCGGCCGTTTCCTCCGAAGGACATCATCTTCAGTTGCTCTACGTTCCAGCCGTCAAGAGTTGTCGACCTGATGAGAGCGACAACGATTGACATCAACAAGGCCTTGATGATCGTCGAATTCACTGGTTGCTGCATACTAGGAACAGGAAGCTTTAAGGCAGCACAGCGGGTCGCATAGTCTAGCATATTCAGAACTTTCTTTAGTTTGTAAAAACAAGTAGGCCAAGAAGCCGTGTATGAATTCTAACATATTAGTGGAAACGGACCTGACAAAGCTGACGTGCACGCCGAGGCTGCGATGCATTGCTGAGCAGTCGAGGCATATGAAGACTCCGTAAGTGACCGATGCCCATGTAGGGTTCTTGGCATTGCAGTCAAAGCACATCTGACAAATCGAGAGACAACGAAGCACATTCGCACAGCAATGCAGATAGCAGACCAGAGCGTGAACCACGGCGATCACACCAAGAAGATGCAATCCAAAAAACGAGGTACTACATATGATAACCTAACATGATTCATTCTAACCTTGTTCTCGGCTTTTGCTCGTAGCTTTTTGAAAACGGGATCCCTCTCCCAGACCTCCTCTTGATTCGCCATTGCTGCTGATTCCAAAATTCTAACAGATGTCCAACACAACACCACTAGAGAATGAGCTATTAAACTAGTAGAACCAAACGAATCCAAGCTTTAGATCGCCAAGTGATTCACCGGGCAGGGAGATCGGAAATCGGTTTGCTGAATTTGGTGAATCTATTTTGGCCTGTTTCAGACACAAGCTGAACAACTAAGATGGTTGGTTAGCTAGCATCACATCACACAGAACAACAGGGTTCCCCTCCCCTGCTGTTATTTCTCTCGGTGCTCTCCCTTCACCCACAATTATTTGTTGCTGGTTGGTGGGGAGACGCTATGCTTCTGTGTTTCCCAAACCACAGATCGAAGCTAGATTTCTGGTTTGGAGGGAGGCTCGTTGTGGAAACACAGGGATCTCCGCGTCAGTTCGCGCAGCGATTGGAGCATGGGTGGGGTTTCCCGCCTGCGCCCCGCCGAGTCAAACTCCCACGCTTCGCCGAGCCCCGTGGCTGGCCCTCAACATGCCCAACGGCCAGTGACAGACAGGTTCGACACCGTTCGGCTGACCTAGTCCCACTAGGGATGTCTGAAGCTCAATTGATTCACTATTGATTTTACCACAGCTTTTACAGGCAAGAAAATTCTAACCAAAAGTACATGGAAGGTGGATTCAAGATCAAAAGCTAAGTTTATCCATCAATTCACTCCTTTCCTGCTTTCACAAGAAGATCGTGCAAATCTTCCTCTGTAAAGTCTACCTTCTCTGCACAGAACTCGCACCGAACCTCCACCGTCCCTGCACCACCACAAAAAAACACTATCTATAAATTGGCCAAAGAAATACCCCATATAATAATCACACATCGGTAGCTCCAACAACGAGATTTGAACGCAAAATGTTGCGCCAATTATATTCCACTTACCTCTCTCCTCAATGAGTTTTTTCACGTCCTCAGCTCCTAGTGACTCCACAGCTCTAAGCATGCGAGGCTTCAAATCTTCCAAACCACATGGGCCAAACGTAGGCACGATCTGTGCAAGCAGAGGGAATGGGAGGAGAGGGCAGACATAGGAAGTATTTCAGTCATTTCCCATGACAACAGCAGTTTGACAATCACATGCTGCACTGCACGCAGTAAACAAGTGACATGCCCAACCAACCAGCATTGCAGACGTATAACAATTTAAAACTGCACCAGACAAAGCACCAGGTCCTTACATACCGGATCTATGACAGGTTCGGGATCCAGCCCCCGCAAGAGATGATGGGCTATAGCCACTGCATCCATGCGCTGCACCGCATCTGACATGGCGCCCAGTGATTGGACGTTGGCCTCTAGCTTGTCTAGCGTCTCGTCCGAGCAGAAGGGAAGGACCTGAAGAGAGGGTTGGAAGGTGAAAGACAACCAGACAGTGAGTCGCGGTACAGACTTGATGGAGTAGGAGGGTATAGACTTGATGAAGTGTATCTAAGCCCTGAGAAAAGAGGGGCTGATTGAAAACGAAGAAGCTGCTCAGAAAGCACTTCATTCATGGCACTGAAGAGAAGACACGTGAGCAGCGGTGCTCGAACAAGGAACCGCCTGCCGCCCTCAAAATGTCTTGATGAGATAGCGCACAATGCTTCACTTATACAAGCCACAGGTGACAAACAACTCGTTAGGCGTTGATTGAACCAGCCACTCACTTGAACAAGGAACCCGCCTGCTGCCCTGACAATGCCATCTTTGCCCACCGCCACTCCCAGCCCCATGGCAGAGTTGATCTGCTCACTCTCCGCCAGATAATTTGCCAAGTCCTCTGCGATCTCCCCTGACACCAGTGGCACAGTGCCACTGATTGTGGCATTGTGGGATAGATGGATGGGAAGGGGAACAGGAGAAGAAGTTGGGTTGGATTGCTCACTCTCCGCCAGATGATTTGCCAAGTCCTCTGCGATCTCCCCAGACACCAATGGCACAGTGCCACTGATCGTGACATTGCGTGAAAAGATGGACGGGAAGAGGGATTGGGGAAGAAGCTGCGTTGGATTGCTCACTCTCCACCAAATAATCTGCCCTGACAACAGGGCACAGTGCTGATAGTAACAAATATCCAGAGAGAAAAAAGAGGCAGCAGGTGAATAGCGTTGGGATGCTCATGTTACAAATTACAACCTACTGAGCCTTTTGCGGTTTCCAATAACAAAGTGCTGCTGCTTGTGGAGGAATGTGGAGGGATGGAAAGAGATGGATGGTACTTTAACCTTACACTGCCTATGGTGTGCAAAAGAGCGTGGCCAGTAGCTGTACCAAGTTAAGGAAGGCTTATACCTTCATACCAAGGTTCATACCTTCATATTGAGCCTCACAAATTAACATCATTACTATCCCGTCCTGATACCCATTGTATCAAGGTGAAAGTTATGAACCAAGACCATGTTCCTTATTGACTAAGTTCTCACGTGTAAGGTGACTGCCAGGAGGGATGGGTTCGAATGACGCTGAGCACTCCCTTGCCCACTGCACCTCCCACGTCCATCTGAACCACGGGGAGGAGGACAGTGGAGAAACAGGGAAATTTATTGAAAAGGAGAAGGGTCGGGACCGATAAGTTGATTGAGACTTGAACAGGTAATGTGCATGTGGTAGAAATTCGCAGGCTGATATTGACCAAAGAAGGCAGGACAATTCTTAAGGTAGCCTATCAGGGTCAGAGAGGCGGGAGATGTATGAGCATATACGTCATTGCATGAATTCGTACTGCCTACCTTGCCCTTGGAGTTGAGAGGTGGGTCGGCCAGGGGGTTCACGGCGAACCCTTTCACCTCCCCATGCACCGCTGAAACGGCCGTAATCTGCCCAATAGGCCCCCGTCCGTTCACTGTGACTTGCACGGATTCGTCAGGCCCCTTCATCGCTCCCAGCAGCAGCGTCCCCATGAGGAGCCGCCCCAGTGCTGCTATAGCCTGTGACACGAGCGAGGATAAGGAAAGAAGATGATTAGCAGGCGATATTGCTCCTATAATTGCTGGAACAACCACTGGGGTAAGAAGCAACACTAGCGGTGAGTGATAGCAGAAAGCAAAGAAATGGTGGTGTGAAACGCGACTCACAGTGGGAGCCATGCCGTGCCGTGTCTGAGCCTCCTTGACCAGATCAGTAGCCGCCACCACCATCACGGATACCTGCCGATGGGCCCCAGAGGGTCGACGCGGTCGACGGAATCATACATGGGTAGGATTAAAAAAAAAAGAGTGATTAATGAAGAAACGTCTGCTAGGGACGGAGCTTGAGGCCAAACATTGCTTTTCTTTCGTCCACAGAAGTTTTGCTATCAGTTGCAACATTGAAGATATGATTCGTTCTCCGAGTTCCTCTTCAACCGCCGTACCTCCGCATTGCCTGAGATGAATTTGACCAGCTCGTCCTTAGTAGCGTGACGTGCGGGTGCTGCGACACCAGCTGCAGAGTCATGGCTCTCATTGCCCGTTTGATCGCCGTCTGATTGGCTAGCACTGACGCGGACACCGACACGACGAAGAGTTTGAAGATACTGGCATGATCGGCGGGATCGGCGGGTGAACGGATTATCGGCTCGCACGTTTATAGTTGCCGTCAATTTCGGCGGGTTCCGTCCAAGGCTGCTGCTGCTTATGGTTACGATGCGGGCTTCTGCGGAATGCCGGAGAGCGGTTCTCGATGGTCGCGTACTGAGGTGTGCATGGACTTGCGGGACTGCCAGGACCTCCATTGCACCTGCTGCTATTATCTGAGTTATCCGCTAAACACCTCAGCCTTGGTACGAGCTGAGAGCTATCCTTACGAAATGCACCGTGACAAAAGAATCCTATCCTACGTCACCAGCGAGCAATATCTGTGAGTGATGGACAGAACAAGGTAACCATACTCACACATAAGGTATTTATAGTGAAGGCACAGCCATGGCACAAAATAGAGCAGGCTAGAAGCAATCTCAAGGATCCCATTTGGTTTGGTTCTGTTGAGCTTGTAGAGAGATCAAATGAAATCCTCAAAACCGTAATCGAAGCTATGCAAAACAGATATCACCGAACCGAACCTTCTTGTAAATGATGTTACTTGGCCTGTCAAATCATAGGTCCGAGCACTCCCACGTGGCAGGTTGACGCTGCGCCGCGTGGAGACTCTACGCAGCCCACTTTCCAGATTCAAATTGTAAAGGCACTTCGACTCAGTATAGAAGAGTAGTAGAATATACACCGCAAGTGACTTTCTGCAATACAGGAGCTTTTCATGTCTAGCTCATGTACTTTTGACACTGTGATCCTGACGGGGACAAACAGAGACTAAATCATATGCTCACTGCGTCCATCCATAGCATCGCCGCCGTATGCTTGCCTGCTATTCTCCTTCAGTTTTCCGGCATTCACGGTGGCCGTTCGCCAATGACATGCTCACATCACTGACCGCATTTTCGCGTCTCAGTCCATCTCCGTTTTCCCCTGACTGGCGCTCCGCTTTACCCAATGCGATCCTGGCCGTTCATTCCAGGGACCTCGGAAACTCAATCTCTTTCATAGACTCAAAAATAAGTAACCGTTTAGCTCGAGCCGCAACATCGAATCATTCGTATTATGCTGTTGCCAGCTTGAACAATCTCCTAGGGATGACTAGCTCGATCATTCACTCTGTTTCACATTTACTCATAGCTTCTCCCGGCGCTAGCAAGCGTTCAGACAAGAACAATGGAAACACCTTCGCCGGACGTCGCACGCCTCTTAGTCGACACGCCAGCACGAGAATGTTCTCCGATCAGAATACGACACTTGGCATCAGAAGCTGCGTCTCTCGTCGGGACGTGACAGAAACGGGCGAAGCCTTGGACACGGTGACGCTGCCTCGAAATGTGACAATAGCGGGAGAATCCATAGGCGCTGTAGCCGACCTCAGTCAATCCAATCCTCAAAATGTGACAATAGCGGAGGAGTCTGTAGATGGTGTAGTGACTAGGAGCCAGGCCAAATCCCGGCTAGATGCGTTTCTGGCAGCACAGGGGGAGCGCGTCAGCCGTGCCAGGTGGCAAGACGCCATTCGCCAAGGGAAAGTGCTGGTGAATGGCGCCGTTCAGAAGAAGGTGAGAAGCAGGGACGGTGTAGCAGGGTGCAATGGCAGTCTCGCCTTCTCATCTCACCCTTCCATCTCCCATCTCTCCTCTGTTTCCCCCTCCCCATTTCTCCTCCTCGTTCTTCCTCTCGTCCAGCCGTCGTACGCAGTGAGGGAGGGCGACAGGGTGCAGGGCAGGCTGGCCCCGCCCCAGTCACAGCACGCGTTGGAGCCATCCGCCATTGCCCTGCACGTGGTGTATGAGGATGACCACGTGGTCGTGATCAACAAGCCACCCCACATGGTAAGTCTTGTCTTATGCGCGCTTCTCTACTCCCCATGCACGTGGAGCCATCCCCCATTGCCCTGCACGTGGTGTATGAGGATGACCACGTGGTCATGATTAACAAGCCACCCCACATGGTATGCGTTTCCCATAGTTTGCTTTTCTTTCTTTCTTTCTTTCTTTCGTTCTCGTTTCTCTCCTGTTCATTCCAGTAACCCTATTCAACCTAGTTGCCCCTCCCCTCCAGAGCAGGTGGTGCATCCCGCTGCAGGCAACTGGAGGGGCACCCTCGTGAACGCTCTGCTGCACAGCTGGTGGTGCATTCGACTTATGAGGCGCCTTAAACACCTCTGTCGACTTATGAGGCGCCTTAAACACCTCTGTCGACTTATGAGGCGCCTTAAACACCTCTGTCGACTTATGAGGCGCCTTAAACATCTCTGTCTGCCCCCACATTGTCCCTATTCGTGCCTCTCCTGCGCCCCTCCCTCCTCTCCAGTGCAGGTGGTGCATCCCGCTGCAGGCAACTGGCAGGGCACTCTCGTGAACGCTCTGCTTCACCACTACCAGCTTTCCTCCTCCTCCTGCTCAGTGTCTTCCCCCCACTCGCCCTTGAGGACAGAAACGCAGGAGAGAAGTGAAGGAGCAGAGGGGCAAAGAGGGATGGTGGAGGAGAGGGGAGGGGAACCTCACTTCCCTACCATTGCTGATTGGGAGGAAGAAGATGAGGAGGATGAGGATGATGAGGTAGTGGAAGAAGGGGAGGAGGGAGAAGAGGGAAGGGAGGGGAAGGGGAGAGAGGGAGCAAAGGAGGAACACAGAGCAAGCGTTGCAGGGGGTGTTGACATTTGGCAAGGGGCGAGCGGGCCGGATGCGCAGGCAGGGGGGTTTGACGTGAGGCCAGGGATAGTGCATCGGCTGGACAAGGGAACCAGCGGACTGCTTGTTGTGGCCAAGGTGAGCGGAAGGAGAGGAGGAGGGGGGAGGGAGGGGGGGGAGGTTGGGGGGAGGGGAGAGGGGGGGTCTGGCCTGGGCTGGGCTGGGCTGTGCGATGGCCGGGGGGGCTAGGCTGGGCAGTGGGCTGGCATAGTCCATCAGCTGGATAAGGGAACCAGCAGTCTGCTTGCGGTGGCCAAGGTGAGCCTTACCTGGTGAGGCAAGGAACAGGGGCTGAATGCAGCAGCATCGCATCATTCTTAGCTTCTCAACACAATACGCCGTCAACCCACTCTTTGCCCTCATTCTCCTTGTTGAGAATTCTCCTTGTTGAGAATTCTCAAAAACGCTCTTTGCCCGCATTCCCTCACTCCTCACCTTCTCACCTCCTCATCCCGCCGCCCATTTATTCCTATCCCCCAGGATCCGTTCAGCCAGGCTCACCTGAGTGCGCAGTTCAAGGCTCGCACCGTGCACAGAAGCTACCTGTCCCTCGTCATCGGTGAGATCGCAGTGCGTCACACAGGTTGCTCGTGTGTAAGCGACGTGAAATGCATCCGATTGCACTTCAAAGCACACAGTGCACAAAAGGGACCTCTGTTCGCTCTTGTGTTCTTCCTTGTAAACGCATGTATGACGGGTCGCCATGTTGTTTGGCACCCAAACGGCAAAGTTATGTCTGGAAGGGCTAACATATTCTCTCTTGACACACACCTGCATGCATCCCATTCCATCCATACCCATGCAGGCTCGCCCTCTCCTCCCTCCGACCGTGTTGATGCGCCCATCGGTCGAGACCCCAAGGACTGATATTTGAGTCGACTCAACCCCCCCACCCCTCCCCCCTCCTCCCCCATCCATGCATGCAGGCACGCCCTCTCCTCCCTCCGACCGTGTGGATGCGCCCATCGGTCGGGACCCCAAGGACCGCAAGCGCATGGCAGTGCTGCCCCTCACGGGTTCTCACCGCAGCAGACGAGCGGCCAGCAGGTGAGATCGAAGCGCCTCTCGTCATGCACGCACACACATACCGTTGCCTCATCTCCCTCCCCAAGGACCGCAAGCGCATGGCTGTGCTGCCCCTCACGGGTTCTCACCGCAGCAGACGAGCCGCTAGTCGGTGAGGACGGAACGGCTCTGAGTTGATATTCTGTGTTGTCTTGGGATGCATGGCAGTGCTTTTGAGCCGACTCTAAAGTCACCTCGAACGGCTTTGAGTTGATATTCTGTGTTGTCTTGGGATGCATGGCAGTGCTTTTGAGTCAACTCTAAAGTCACCTCGAACGGCTCTGAGTTGATATTCTGTGTTGTCTTGGGATGCATGGCAGTGCTTTTGAGTCGACTCTAAAGTCACCTCGAACGGCTCTGAGTTGATATTCTGTGTTGTCTCGGGATGCATGGCAGTGCTTTTGAGTCGACTCTGAAGTCACCTCGAACGGCTCTGAGTTGATATTCTGTGTTGTCTTGGGATGCATGGCAGTGCTTTTGAGTCGACTCTAAAGTCACCTCGAACGGCTCTGAGTTGATATTCTGTGTTGTCTCGGGATGCATGGCAGTGCTTCTTCTCATGACTCATGCATGTCATGCCTCCTGCCTGTCATGACATGACTCATGCATGTCATGCCTCCTGCCTGTCGTGACTCATGCATGTCATGCCTCCTGCCTGTCGTGACTCATGCATGTCATGCCTCCTGCCTGTCATGACTCATGCATGTCATGCCTCATGCCTGTCATGACTCATGCATGTCATGCCTCATGCATGTCATGACTCATGCATGTCATGCCTCATGCATGTCATGACTCATGCATGTCATGCCTCCTGCCTGTCGTGACTCATGCATGTCATGCCTCCTGCCTGTCATGACTCATGCATGTCATGCCTCATGCCTGTCATGACTCATGCTTGTCATGCCTCCTGCCTGTCATGACTCATGCATGTCATGCCTCATGCCTGTCATGACTCATGCATGTTATGCCTCATGCATGTCATGACTCATGCATGTCATGCCTCCTGCCTGTCGTGACTCATGCATGTCATGCCTCCTGCCTGTCATGACTCATGCATGTCATGACTCATGCATGTCATGCCTCATGCATGTCATGACTCATGCATGTCATGCCTCCTGCCTGTCGTGACTCATGCATGTCATGCCTCCTGCCTGTCGTGACTCATGCATGTCATGCCTCCTGCCTGTCGTGACTCATGCATGTCATGCCTCCTGCCTGTCATGACTCATGCATGTCATGCCTCCTGCCTGTCATGCATGTCATGCGTGCCATGGCTCATGCCGGTTCATGCCTCATGTGTGTGACTGATGACCAGGTACCGGGTGTTAGAGTCGCTGGCAGGAGGAGCAGCCGCGCTGGTGGAGTGGAGGCTGGAGACCGGGAGGACACACCAGGTGGGTTGGTCGGAGGTGCTAGGTGTAAGCAGGGACGGTCAGATGAGCTGTGAGCATCGGTGGGGCAATGCATGCACCCTCGGTTGTGTGTAGGTTACAAGAAGCTATTTCCTTAGTGGAAAGTGGGAGGCTTCAATTTGTATCACTGCAGGATGTTTTTTTGTCATTCGTTACACTGAATTGAGTGTTACCATTATCGTTCCCTTGAACCTGCAATGTTGCCAGATCAGAGTACATGCGCGGCTCCTGGGCCATCCGTTGATCGGCGATGAAACGTACGGCGGATCGACACGCCACGTGTCGTCTCGCCTCCTGGCATCGTTGCCCTCCTCTTCACCTCTCCGCTCGCCTGTGGCTCAGTGGATTGCTGGGCTGGATCGACCCCTGCTTCATGCAGCCACACTTGGGTGAGCGAGCAAAACTAAGTGTTGTACGCATAGCGTTGTATGGTCTGTTAGTCAGGACGTATATGGTACACATGGTATGGGTTTTGCGAAGCACTTATGATAACTTCCTTTGTTCCGTGTGAACAGGTTCGTACACCCGCATAAACTCGATGTCCTAACCTTCGAAGTTGCACCTCCCATCGATTTTATCCAGGCATTGCGATTGCTTAGATTGTTGTGACAAGTTGGATATCCATTCCTCATGTAGTCGTATGGCTCATGGCTCTTTGTATGGCCACTTAAAATTACTGTTTTTAGAGTTTGTCACCATTCATTTGAGAGTAGCCTTACAATGAAATTACGTGGTCAACGCAGTCTCAGCATCGCCTGACCAATCCTTGCTCCTCCCGCATGCCAGTCCCGCAACATTCTAGGGACACGGGGGTAGGAATCTTGCAGTGTTTCCTCGCTGGCTCAATGACCTGGTCGGTCCTCTGTCATCGCTGTCATTTTCCAATGAGCTGCAAAATGCTTTCCACGTGTCTTGTTTCCTAGCTCCTGACGGCTGAGTGAAATTCCTGCGGGAGCAGTTGAATACGGAACGCGCCCTTGTTGGCTTCCCTCGCCTATTTCCATTCTCCCCCCACCACCTGTTCTCGGCTCATTTCACTTGATTGCTGCTCGTTTTCCCAAATCTCCTCCATATTCATCGTTCGTTTTCCTCGCTTGTTTTCCTCGCCCATCGATTTGGTAGTTTCCCCACGTCATCTTGTCGTGATTTTGACCGTCAACCTCGCCAATTCTCAAGTTTGAATACTTTTGTTTGAAGCTACACACGATGTCCGTTTGACTAACCCAAGGTTGCCTTGTGAAGGGGGCGCTTAAGTGATTCATGCATTTCGTGGAGGTTTCGTCAATTCGCGTCGGGCAAAAAGGGCTTATAGCAAAATTTTGTAACTCACCGTTGACTGTTTGACTTCGGTCTCTTCTGTGCATGTGGTTCGTATTGGTTGACGTGCTTGTAACGTGGGTGCAACTGCCCGGGAAAAAACCTTCGTGTGCAAGGTTTCTGGAACGTGCGAGGCAATTTCGCGTGCAGGGGTTGGGCATCTTGTGTACATCGCGGATTTGACAAGGGCGGAAAGTCACTGAAATGTGACTTTTTTGTGATGATTGCGTGACTATTTTCCGTCACGTAATCTTCATGGTCAGAAGTTCCAAGAAGTGAAGTCACGGAAATGTCACGTTGGAGTCCCGAAATTTCATACAGAAAGTCACTGAAATGTGACTGGTGAAGTGATGTTCTCGTCACTATTTGTCACTTTTTTGTTCCCATGCCACGTGGACAAACCGCGTTACATCTTTCCAGATATTTTGCCAGGTGTCCATGTCTGTGATTGGTTGAAATGGACCAATCGATTGTCACTCCAGTGTGTGCCGAAACGTAATTTGATTGGCTAGCGACTCTCAATAGCGACCGCATATCGCACACGAAACACAGCATTCCGTACGTCCAATTCAACACAACCGAGGCGTCCATTGGCGTTTTTCAAATGCATCACTATTCAAAATAGTACATACATACATCGGCAGAGCAACACACCCGTACGTCTACAACACCGCACGTCCATATGGACACATAGCTAACTGCGCTCTAGATTAAAGCCTAGTTCAAACTAGTCCGACCAGATGGGTCGGACGGAGCTTGACACCAGCAAGAAACCCCGAACTTAATGGAACCTGCAATCAAGACAACAGCTAAAGATCCTGACACGTGACAAAACAAAAAACATAACGTGAACTCCAAGAATAAAACGCGCTAGCACATCCACCTGCACCACACCGCACGTACACGCGAAGCGGAGACGATCCGAGTTTCCGACGATGAAAGTTAAAACAGATCGAAGAAAAAGACCGTGATACGGAAGAAAAAAAACAAAACAAAACAATTACGAAAACAGCTCGAAGAAAAAAAAGGCCACCTCCCGCAGCTCCAGCGCTCCCTCTCACGCCAAAGGCTCCCTCCCTCCTGCGCGCGCCCATGAACGCATCGAGCGCAGGCAGCAGCGCGCTCTCCGCGTCCAACGCCGACGTCGCCTCGTCCAGCAGCAACACCCGCGGATTCCGCAGAATCGCCCGCGCGATCGCCACGCCATGCTTCTGCCACCCCTACAGTTGCGTGCCTCGATCCCCCACCTGCGTCTCGTAGCGCTGCCGGGGGAGGGGGAGAAAAAGGAGGGAAGAGAGCGGTAGGGATGGGAGTGAGAGCCCGGGACACGGGAGGCGAAAACGAAGGGTAAGGGGGAACGGAAACAAGCAGTCTGAGGAGCAGGGGAAAGAGGGAGAGCCGAAGGGCGGAAGAGAGACAGACAAAGGAGAGACACGAGCGCACTTACATCGGACAGCGAGGGGTACGCAAAGGTCACCTCGCGCAGCTCCGGCACTCCCTCACACGCCATGCTAACCCTGAAAATCTATGGGGAATAGGGGTGGGAGGAAAGGGCATAAGCCGAGGGGGATAGACGCAGAACGAGATGTGCAATTCACGGTGGCCAAACTACGTTTACCGCCGGGTGTGAATCAAGACAGGCATAAATACACGTAGCGAATTGGTACTGACCGAATATGTCGTCCAAAGCGACTGCGCTGGCGGCGGCTTCCCGTCGCCAAGCGTCCGGCGGTTCGTCATGCGGAAATTAACTACGGAGGGGGGGGGGGGGGGGGGGGGAAGGGAGGTTGGAAGAGCAGGGCGGAAGTGGAGGGAGGTAGATTCGGAACGAGATATGCTGTCGCGAGTAGGTTTACATACGGAAAAAAACCGCACAGGACCGGGAGAGTAAGGGCCGGGAGCGCAAGCTAGCTTCAGAAGTTGCTAGCAACTAGTGGAGGTAACATAATGGAGATTGAGAGATTGCGAAAGACTAAGGACAAAGCGCTTGAAAAGAGGTACGTGGGGCGCTGTAGGGTGACTAGAACTCAGGAGATAGAGCATTGCGAGGAGCGAGGAGTAGGACTTGAACGACAAAGCTAGCCTAACTTCTGAGAACGTACAAGGCAGAGCAGTTGTACGGCAAGGTGGGGGTGGGTGGGGGAGTGGGGGGAGGATGAGAGGTTGAGAGTGGTTTGAGGCTCTTTGTGCTGATGTGTGAGTGGATGGATAAGGGAGGCTAGTGTACGTCGATTCTGATTTTGTGCGCTGCCGTGATTGGTTCGAATAAAATTGTCGTGAGGTTCGATTTGGTTCTGTGGGGTGCCTGGAAATGACGTGGAGCGCCAACGTGGATTGGTTGCTACACCAACGTCAGTTTGTGTTGTGGCAGCAAATTATGTTCGCTTTCGTGTTTGCGAGTTTCGCGACTTCTGTAGCCTTGGTTTGTTTTTCTCGTTTTAGTTCGCGAATGCTCGCATGTTCTTTACAATTGTTCAGGGACTTCGGTTGCCGAGGGTGATCAGAGACACCTCTAATGCACCGCCTTCAAACACTTTCAACCACTCTCGACGTTATGTCGAACCCAACCAGTTTGCGACTAACAACTTCGTGTCACTGTGAAGTTGCTATTGCGTGACTTTTCTGTCATGTGTGAAATGTCACGGGAAAGTGACATTTTTCTTGTGATTTTCCGGAAGCATTGTGTGGTTTTCCCAGGAGTTTTCCGTAGAAAAACCTACGGCGACCAAATTTTCGAGTTTGAAAAAACCGCGGTGTATGACGCTGACCGAAATCAAACCACCTTAGCTCCGAGCTAGCATGGATTCCGCCAAGCCAGCTTTCCGTGTCTACGCGGCATCTGATTCATACGGTGCGACTCTTAGAAGCGCCATGGTCAGTTATCTTCGCTCCAGAGGCATAGAGGTTGAAGACTACGGCGAAGACAAGTACTACACGGCGGCTGAACGCGTCGCCAAAAGCGTCGCAGCCGACCGCTCGGCGACAGATTCTCCTGCCTGCGACACGCGCGGGCTGCTTGTGTGCGGAACCGGCACCGGCGTTACAGTCTTTGCAAATAAAATCCCGACGGTTTACGCCGTGCTGTGCGACACCGCTGACGTGGCAAAGAACGCCAGGTCGATCAATAACTGTAACGTACTCTGCATGGGTCAATTTCAGACTTCTCCTGAGAAAGGGCAAGAGATTGTGGATGCATGGCTCGCGACAGAATTCAAAGCGCCGTGTCCGGCGAGTGGTAACCAGCCGTGGAACAAGGAAGTCTTTGACTTCTTGACAAACGCACCTGACGAAATGGCTGCAGTAGGGAAGCCAGAATCTCCACAGTTACCTAAACCTTTCGAACCAGGTTGTGGGGCCTCACAAGAGGGCAAGGCCGCAGCATGAAATAGTAGCAGCAGAATCAAACTTTCTTCAAGACAGTACAGGAGGTTTTTCTATCCTCCTTCATTGGCTAGGCATGGGATGTGAGGGAAAAAGGGTTTTTTTTTTTTGTCAAGTACATAGCATAGCGATATTTATGCGTGGTGCGGTGCGTCAGTTTTGTATGTTCTTTGGTAGTGGAAACTGTTGATAGGGTGTGATGTGAATATACATAGATCATAGCAAAACTTTAGAGTGCACAAGCTCTGAACAGTTCTCCACAGGTTTGGAATGAGGTCATTGATGAATGAAGTCAGGGTCGCTATCTATGGACAGTCACCAATTTCACACATGATACCAATGTAGGAAGATATTCTAAACCCTAAGATACAGATATAACACTAGAGAGAGGAACAAAGCTCAACATGGACTGCACAGAACCTCATACCGTATCATCCAGGTTTATCAGAGGACTGAGCTGATGTGTACTGTAGAGAAGGTGGTGGAAGGTTGAGTTGGTGGAAGGGCATATCCTGTACGCTGTTGTGGCGTTGCAGGCTAGAAAGTATTGACATACATCATATTCAAATCGAACTACATGCCGTGTATTTGTAGGATGCAGTCGGTCATCGTACTACGGTCTTCCATGGGGGGTTTGAACGTGGATTTGGTGGACAGGGAGGAGGACGATGTCGAGATGGAGGGTGGGGCTCTCTGGGTGGAGGCCCCTTACATGGTGGATGCTCGGATGTAAGCTGAGTAGGGGGGGGAAATTGGGGGGCTGTCTGGGGGTGTCTCGGTTGGGCGTATGGATTGGGTGTTTTGATTGGGTGTTTTGATGGGGTTTTTATTATATATGTGCTTTTAGGATCTGGGTGTCTTGTTGGGGTTTTTATGTGTGTGCATTTAACATAAACTGTGTACTGAAACGGTGCTGAGGGCGGGTCCAACTTTGCACACTCCCTTTTTTTTCGTTATATTTACGTCAACTGTAACGGAGACATTTCCATAGTGCATATTTGAAGTAATGAACAAACTTGTAAACAGTAATTAATGTATAATTTTCAGGCAGCTACCGTAGCTGTAATGTTTGTAGTGTTTCCTAGAACACTTCCACCTTTTCGAATTTCGCATTATCTGCTCAGCAATCCCCATTCCAGTCCCAGTTTCATGCTTGCAATCCGCGGGTGCAGGTTTCGCCGCCCGCTGCGGGTAGATTTTGCAGCCTCATTAGGAGCCCTGAAAAGCACCGGTTTCTCGCATTCCCGCTTTAGATGGAAGTCAATCACTAATCCTGGCAAAATACATTATTTTCCCAGCGGAAATGTCGCAAAGTTGATATTATTAGTGGACTGGACGATGCGGTCTGGAGGCTTCAGTCAAGGGAGGGGTGGTGCGACTCGAACTGCACCAACGAGCGAGCTGCGCTTTGCGAACGAGCGGTGCGAATTTAACGACGGCCGCTGTAACCACGGCAGCACTGTCAGTGAGGTCCAGCGGCTCGGATGACGCTCCGTCAAGGTACGACGAGAATCTTCCAGCGACCGTTGATCGTTGAAAATTAAGCAATAAATTATACCGTTGTTTCGTCATGGTACTGTGCCGTACCGCATTCCATCTCAGTCTTCCGCAAGCAATAAAATAGGAGAATAGAATCTTTTTTGTAGTACTGTAACGCTTTTCATCTCAGCCCCTCGTATCGTCCTATCTGCTCGTACAGCTGTCGCCTGCATCCGATCTTCACCGTCCCTCCAATCACAGGCGGTCAACTGTCGGCTGGTTTGCATCGTTTCTCATTGGCTCGCTCCTTGGAGGGATCCTAACCGCAACCATAGTTCCCGCTGTGAGTGCTGCTTTCTTCTCACCTTTCAGCTTGAAGAAACAACATCAACATCAACACCTCTCAGCTTGTGTACTCTCTTCCAACAATGCATGCTGAAGCGATGCCTTCCATGTATGGCCCCCTCTATTGCCATCCCCCCCTTTCCTGCTCCCTTCCATTCCCACTTTACTCTTCAGGTCTTACCTCCACCCCCTTCCCCTGGCAAGGCAACCACCGCTTTCTCCTCCCCAATCGCTTTCATACCCACCCCTGCCACAACCGCTGCTGCTGCTGCTGATGGCGTTTCCATGCCCGTGTCAGCATCCGCTGACGCTGCCAACGTGGCAGCCACTGCTGCAGTGACAGCTGACGTGGCCGCTGACGTGGCTGCTGACGTGGACGCTGTCAGCAATGCCACGTGGAGAGGTGACGTGGCAGGCGTTCAGGCGGAGGCAGAGGAGCTGCTGGCACGGAACACGGAGCTGCGCCGTGCGCTGGGGAAGCTGCGGCAGACGGTGATGCTGGAAGCACGGACGCGCATGGCCGAGCTGAAAAGCATTCTCAAGGTGAGCTTTTTTCAGTGTTAAGAAAAGGCACGTTGAGCATTCTTGGGAGCTGCGCGTTGATGGGAGTGGAACAAGCTTCAGTTTCAACATGTAAGAGAGTTCCGATGATAAACTTCTATTGTTTCTCTTGTCCTTCCACTTTGCCCCTGTCCCTGGATTTTTTGCATCTGTCGCCATCGCCGTCATCATCACCATTGCCATCTCGTTTTGCTTTTCCTCCACCTTTTGTTCCCTCTCACATGTGTATCTTCAAACATCTGCACTTTCCAGGTGTATTTTGAGTCGACTCAAAATACACCTGGAGTTTCCTCCACCTTTTGTTCCCTCTCACATGTGTATCTTCAAACATCTGCACTTTCTGGTTACCAGGGGATTAAGTTGGTGCAGGACCAGCGTGCTTTGACCTACTATGTGGACGACAGGCACCTGCCATCGCCATCTTTGTCTGTCTGTCCTCCGCATTCTGTTCTCTCCGCCTTCTCCTGTTAACCAGGAGATCAAGCTGGTGCAGGACCAGCGTGCTTTGACCTACTATGTGGACGACAGGCACCTGCCATCGCCATCTTTGTCTGTCTGTCCTCCGCATTCTGTTCTCTCCGCCTTCTCCCGTTAACCAGGAGATCAAGCTGGTGCAGGACCAGCGTGCTTTGACCTACTATGTGGACCACAGGCACCTGCCCTCCTGATTTGTTTCCCCTTCATCCTCTGCTCTCCTGCAAATCCATGTTCCCTCAGGAGATCAAGCTGGTGCAGGACCAGCGTGCTTTAACCTACTATGTGGACGACAGGGGGTTGCCATCGCCACCAACAGAGCTGAGGGAGATTGCTGCACTGACTGCGAGGCGGCGACCAGATGTGGATGCTAAAGAGGAGGAGCTGGTGGCGCGAGCGCAGGTGGGTGGGAGACTATGAGAGCAGAGCATGATACTAAGATTTGGTGTGGCCGGGCTTATTCCTTTGCTGGAGTAAATTGTGAGACAGCTCAAAACCCCCTTTCTCTCCCCTCGTCCCACACTGTCTAGGTGCTGTCTCTGCGCGAGGAGATAGAGCGAGCCGTCTACGCTGACCTGTTGAGACAATTTTGAGAAATCACAAATCAAAACCACCCTCTCCCTCCCTTCCCCCCTTATTCTCCCTGCTTGTTTTTGAGAATTCTCAAAAACCAGTTCGTCCCACAACTTGGAGGTGTGACTGCTGTCTCTGCGGGAGGAGATAGAGCGGGCCGTGCATGCTGACTTGTTTTGACACTTTTGAGACACCTCAAGTCCCCACCTCCCCCCGCCCCCACGGCTCTCCCTCACTGCCCTTCTCTTCCTGACCGGCCAGGTGCGAGTGCTGTCTCTGAAGGAGGAGATAGAGCGGGCCGTGCATGCTGACTTGCGCCTCAGCTTCTCTCGCTGCGCTGCTGCACTGCAGCACACCCAAGAGGTTCAACAGGCGCACACACAAGGTGAGAGTAAATAGCAGTCGGAGTAGCATCGTACCACATTCTCCTGCTGTGCTGCTGCACATCCTTGAGTGTTTTTATTGTTTCTGTTTTTTTTTTTTTTTTTTGTGTGTGTTGATTATATTTTGATAAAATGATGGTGTCATGCCCCTTCTTTTATCTGCTCCTCCCTCCCATCAGCCATGCAAGCATACATGGCAGCGCACGCCACACTCTCCCTCCGCCTCACAGCTCTGTCAGCACTCAAGCAGCCGGGCAGTGGAGAGAAGCTGCAGCGACTAAGGGAGCAACCCATCCTGCTCTCCTCCCCTACTGCTAGGAACGCCTTTCTCTCCTCCCTTGATGCACCAGGTGAGTCTGCTTTCTTTGTTTTCTCCTCCGCCTCACGGCTCTGTCAGTGCTCAAGCAGCCGGGCAGTGGAGAGAAGCTGCAGCGACTGAGAGAGCAGCCCATCCTACTCTCCTCGCCCACTGCTAGGAACGCCTTTCTCTCCTCCCTTGATGCACCAGGTGAGTCTGCTTGCTGTATTTTCTCTCCGCCTCACAGCTCTACCAGTGCTTAAGGGGCCGGGCAGTGGAGAGGAGCTGCTTTGACTTAGAGAACAGCCCGGCCTGCTCTCCTCCCCCGCTGCTAGGAACGCTTCCGGTCCGCCCTTGATCCATCGGGTGAGTCTGCTTTCTTCCTCCCGCATTGAGGTCGTTTTTGAGGCGCCTCAAAAACGACCTGAACGCTTTCCGGTCCGCCCTTGATCCATCGGGTGAGGCTGCTTTCTCCCTCCCTCCTTACCTCCCCAAACCATCCTCCCACCCGCTCCCCCTCCCCTCCCCTTGTGCCCTGCCGAAGCATCTCTGTGCTGCAATCTTTTCCAATCTCCTCTTCTGCGCATGCTTCTTCCCCTCCATATTCCTCCCCATTGACCCCTCCCGCACCGGCCCCACATATCTTGTTGAACATGTACCCACCTTCCCATCCCCTCCCACCTTCTCCCTCATGCCTCCCACCCCACCATCTTGCCCCTGCCCGCCCCTTCCACTGCCCTCTCGCCTTCCCTCTCTTGTGACCAACCCCCCTTTCCCACCCCCAACATCTCTCTCCGTGTGTGTCCAACAGAAGCATCACTGTGGTCAGACCTCCTTTTCTCCGCGTCCCACTTCCCCTCCGTATTCCTCTCTACCGACCACCACCCCTCCAGTTAAACACCCACTGAACCTCTCTGCTTTCCCCTGCCACCCTCTCCCCGTGTGTCCAACAGAAGCATCACTGTGGACAGACCTCCTGTTTTCCGCATCCCACTTCCCCTCCATGTTCCTCTCCACCGACCACCACCCCTCGCTCGTCTCATCCATGCAACACTTAGCTAACGCTCAGAACGATACCGTTGTAGCGCTTAAATTGCGCACCGAGCGCGCTGCTGCTGAAGTGAAGGAAGCCAAGGGGAAGCTTCCTGAGCTGTGCCACGTCAGCGCCTCCTGGGTGAGCCCCGAGGGTGCTGACGTGTCTCCTTGCTCTCTGGCCAGTCGGATATCAGAAGAAGAGCGGGGAGGAAAGAACGGAACGAGCAAGGGCAGCGGAGGGACAGAAGGAGGAACAGGGATGGAGAAAGAGAATGACCCTACGAGAGAATCAGACCCCCTATCAGGGCCCTTAGCCCCCTCTGCTCTGTGGCGTCAACCCCTATGGGACCTCTCCTTCCCCACCCATTCTTCCGCCTTCCCCGCCTTCCCTCACTCCTACGCCTTCAATTCTCCTGCCTCCTCCCCGTTCTCCTCCTCCTCTTCCTCCCCTTTCTCCTCCTTACTCTCGTCGGCGTCTCAATCACCGGGTACAACTGGCTCATCTGTAGCAGGGCAGTCCACAACTGCTACAGATGCTGCTACAGGTGATGCTCATACCCAATACCATTCAGCCGAATCTCCAGGTTCATCCAGCGCCAGCTCATCCACCGAATCCACCACATCAGCAGCCGCCACATCAGCAGCTGCAGTGAACATCTCCTTCCTGATCTACACATCGCCACCCACCACGGCCGCCCTGGATCTCGTCTCCAAGCTGTACGATTGCACGCACGGGCGGCTCAGGGCGGGCAGCATAGGCGGGCGGCTGGGGGGGCTCACATCTGAAGCCTTAGTGCTTCTGGACGGCCCCTCCATTCCCCTGCACCAGGCGTCTGCCATGGTCCGCCGTGGGAAATCGGCAGGTGGGGGTGGGAGCGGCAGTGGGAATAACAGCAGCAGCAGCAGCAGCAGCAGTGAAGGCATACCAGGGACGGTGCCAGGGTTTGAAAAGTACTACAACCCTGCGGATTGGATCCAAGCCACCCGCCGAACCTCCCCAGGTTCGTTCCTCACGCACATCCTCGCCCCATCCCGCATGGGCGCCGCCCGCGCCTACAACCTCCTCTCCCTCCTCGCCCGCGGCTCCATACTCGTTCTCCTCGCGGGCGGCGATCTGCCGCCCGACTCCTGCGACTGGGCGGCGAATCTCGTCGCGCCTTTCTCGGCCTGGCCCCGGCTGGGGATTGCAGGGCATTCGATGGGGAAGATGGGGCTGAGGAACGCTCCAGGAAGCCTGCAGCTGGGGGAGGTGCGGAACGCTGGGGATCAGTTTTGGAACAGGTTGAGAGATCCGGTGACTGGGGTGAGGATGAGCTTTGTGCTTGGGACGGTGACAGGACCGATGGCTGCGAGGCGAGACGTGTTTGTGAAGGTGGGGGGTTTCAGCACGATTGATGGGGGTATAGATGCGCTATCGGATTGGGACCTTTGCCAACATGTATGGCTCTCTGGCCATCAGGTGTGTGAATTAGTATTTCTGCTCTTTTTTTTTTTTTTTTTTTTTTTTTTTTTTTTTTTTTTTTGGTTTTCAGGCTGCTTCTGCATTAATATCTCTGTCGCTTGTTCCTTTTACTTCATGTTAAAATTTCCTGCTTCCACTCACGCTCCAATAGTGCGTCCATCGTAACATCTTGTTGCTTGCCTGTACCGTGTATTTTTTTTCCTTGGTTTGATTCTTAGGTTGCGTTGGTGTATCAAGAACCAGAGCTTCGCTTTAGAGCCACCGATGAACTGACCAGAAGCCGTGAAATGGCACGCTCAACGGAGTTATGGTCTCCTGACCACTCTGTGATCCATCCCAACCTCACAGACAGAATTATTTCTGAAGTGAAGCATATGAACAGGTATCTGAAGCCGTTGTTGATTTGGGAGTGAAGTTCAGGAACATCAGTCAGCATTTCATGAGGCTCCCTGTAAGTTCTAAAGTTTTATCCTTAAAAGTAAACAGAACCGTGTGCTCTCGACGCTGTTCTCTTGCTGTTCTCGGTTTCATCATCCTCGTTGATAGCGAAGGTCTCACGCGTCACCGCACCTACCACTTCGCCTCGGTCCTAGAGATTGTCTCGGCCTATTTGTCCCATCTTATCATCATGACCATACCGCTGGGCCCTGGATATCAACAGTACCACTCACCACCACTTGCCACCACGCAGAGCCGTTCTACACCATCTTACCTCACCTCACATCAACTCGTTCACTGATATTTGGAAGACTAGCAGTCTTCATTACTCTCACATCAGTAGTTGCGCCTTGCTTGCTTCATCTACTGTATCCTTTTCAACCAGCGGCTTTTGAAGCCGCGACTTGGCCGTATGAGAGCCGCGGTTTCCACGATCGCCGTTGATGATGGGATTTTCAACGCGAGGCCTCATTAAGGTCGTACAATGACCTTCGTTCCAAGATTTTAATCCAAGTAGTGATTATGCGTGACATGCTTGAAGGATTCAATGAGGGTATCAGTTTTCGTAATCAGGAACGAAACCCCGCATCCAGTAAGCTGTTTCTTGTGGAACCGCAATCTGCGGAATCAAACTACTACAGTACAATGCACGGCCCTATAGTTCAAACTAGTATGACATTTGGACTTCACACGAGCAGTAGCATTGTTGTATTTATATGAGATTTCAAAACTCCCGAGTAACCATAGAATTTTCTCGTATAAGCAGCCAGTGGTGGTATCGTCGTATTTATGGAGTCAGAGTATTAGCCCCTGTGAGTCTGTACTATGCTGTTAGCCCTACATTAGGCTGCTGCTCTAGCGCTTGGCTTGCGTCAGGTTCTTGACATCTCGTCAGGTTCGGTGCAAGATGGATTTTCCCCAGCCTAAGTTCCCGGCTCGGATAGGCGGCCTATCGTGGAACGACGACGGCGATGACTCAGATTCGGATTCGCCTGAATCAGAATCGGGATCCCAGGGAAGCGGCGTGGGTCTCTTGGGAGCCTCGGGGGAAATTCCCCGCTCCGAAAGCTCCGCCTGGAAAGGCAGCCGCGGGGGAAGTACAGGGGGAGGAGGGGAGAGAAGTGGAAGTTTATTTGGTGGTGCTGGCGACATAGCAGGTATCGGGTTTAGCGGCGGTCTCAGCGGCGTGATTAGCGGCGGAATCAGCGGCGCTAGCAGCGGAGGAGGAGGAGGAGGGGAAAGGAAGGTGAAGTTCGATACGCCAGACGCCCCGCCATCGATCACACCCGCGGCTGCAGTCCCTCCTCCATCCAAGCCTCGTCACTCCCGCGCACTGTCGTCCGAAGCTCCTGACTTGCTCGCGCCCAAACCTAACGCCCGCCGTGCAAGGACGACTGCCTCAGCGATTTTCACTCGGCCCAATCAACCAAGCGCTTCAGGTCCGTTCGTTCTGCCGAGCCCGTTCCTTTTCTCGCCTCCCTCTGTGTTGTCTCTCTCTCTCTCTTTTTCTCTCCCACTCGCTCCCTCCGTTCCAACAGCAAGACGCATTCGTGGCTTCATTCCATGAACCTGCTGTGTCTCCTCCTCCCTATAACAGGCTCCGATAGTATCCCCCAAGACCCATTCCGCCGGCAGCGCCACGAATCCATCGGGGGAGGCCTCCCTGGCGCGGGGGGGTCGCGCCAGATGCTCACTCCGGGCAGCGCCGCTGCTGCAGCCGCGCGGCAGCGGCGCATGTCCGTCCAATTCGCATCAGGCTTCTCAAAACCCACGGGATTGCAGCTGCCAGGGTCCGTGGGGGGCCAAGGGGGACCCATGACCCCCACTGCTGCTGGAAACCCCAGTACTGCGACCAAAAAAGTGCAGAAATCTATGATGATGTGTATGGATCCGACGTGTAACGCGTGCCCGCCGGAAATGCATGCTCTGCGGAATAAGAAGCTCATGGCTCAGGTTATAGACGAGTTTCCGGAGCCCTTGGCGCGGCCGACGAGGCGAGGGGGGAGGGGAGGTGGAAGGGGAGGAGGCGGGGATGATGATGATGATAGTGATTATGATTTTGATGATGACGATGACGATGATGATGACGATTATGGGTATGATTATGACGCGGAGCAGGGACAGCGGACGATTGTGCGGTTTTGTGGAATTACCTGTTTCGCGTACATCTCCAAGGTGAGGCCAGCAGCTCACTCTCTCACACCCTGAGCAGTAGATAATCCTTTCTGTTGCTCGTTTGCATCCTTCACTCCCTTGCACTGCATCCCACTTCGTCTCACTCCCATCTCTCTGCATCCCACTGCATCCCACTGCATCGCAATGCATTCCACTCCCCATCGCACCCCACCCAGCCGAAGCGCAAGAAGCGCAAGTCACGGTGGACCAAAGCCTGGGAGGACGTGCGGGACTTGTTCCAGCCCATCAGCATGCTGTGGCAGCCGTGGGGTATCCTGAACCCGCACTCAAAGTTCATGGCGCGGTGGAACAAGGTGTTCATGGTGGCGTGCATCCTCGGCTTCACTATCGACCCCTGGTTCCTCTTCACCCTGCAGGCGCTGCACCAAGTGGCGCCAGAACCGGTGAGAGGGGGCGAGGGAATGAGAGAAAGAGTGAGGGAGGGAGGGAATGAGGGAGAACGGGATAGGACTGCAGGCATGGGCCTTATGCACCTATGCATGCACGCGGCATGCCATCCCTATTTTTCCTGCATCGATTGAAGCATCCCACCACACCCTCTGTTGACCAACAGGAGGCATTCCTCAAGTTGGTGTGCATGACTCCCACCCTGTCCCCTTCACCAGGCCATCCTGTGTCTGACTCTGGATTAGACGGCAGCCATCACCTTCACCGCGTTTTTGGATTGACTTGGGTCGACTCACGAACCAACCTCCCCCAATTGCCCACCACTTCACCTGCCAGGCCATGCTGTGTCTGACTCTGGACTGGACGGCAGCTATCGCCTTCACGGTGCTGCGTTCATTCGTGGACCTCTGCTATGTCATTCAGATTGTCGTTCAGGTATTGCTTAACCAAGCACTGCCCAGCCCAGCCCAGTACCCACCACATTGTTTCTGTTGCGGTTTGACATGATGCACTTGACCTGCAACATTCATTCATTCATTCCTTCCTTCCATATCATGCTCAAGGCGTCACCCACCCTAACCTTCTCCCCTCCCCGTTTCCTCTTCTGTTCTAGACACCTCGAATCAAATTCCCTCAGTCTTCATCACTCACTTCCTTTGTCACCTCCCCACCAACCAGTCAGCAGATCAAACAGAGCCCAGCCCAGCACCAGATGGTTGCACCCTCTTGAAACCCCCATGCCTCCGCGTCCAAACCCTGAACCCTGAATCCGAACTCTCAACCCATTCTAAAACCCCAAGCAACCCCCTTCACCTTCATTCCCCCCCCCCCCCCCCCCCCCCCCCCCCACCAGTTCCGCGTGGCCTACATCGTGCCACCCCCCACCAACCGCAAGAGCCGCTTCTTCCGCCGCTGGTGGGCCGACCGCTCCCTGCAGAGCCCCCAGAAGCTCACACCCTCTTTCACCCCTCCAACTCCGCTCCTCTAAACCCCAAACCCATAACCTAAAAAACCTCGTATCGACTAAACACCCTTTTCCCCGCTTTATAACCCCTTCCCCAATCATGTCCCCTCTCCCCTCATCCCCTCCTCTTCACTCCCCCCAGTTCCGCATGGCCTACATCGTGCCGCCCCCCACCAACCGCAAGAACCGCTTCTTCCGCCGCTGGTGGGCCGACCGCTCCCTGCAGAGCCCAGGGGACCTCGAGTTTGATGCACGCGTCATTGCCAGCCGCTACCTGCGCTCCTGGTTCCTCATTGACGTGCTGGCAGCGCTGCCTATCCCCCAGGTCAGTAAGTCAGATCTACCCCAGGTGAGGCGTATCCCAGGTGAGGCCTTCCCCAGGTACTGCCTGTTCTGCTCACAGCACCCTGCAGAGCCCAGGGGACCTCGAGCTTGACGCACGCGTCATTGCCAGTCACTACCTGCGCTCCTGGTTCCTCATTGACATGCTGGCCGCCTGCCCATCCCCCAGGTGAGTCAGTCAGCCCTACCCCAGATGGGACCTATCCAGGTACTTTACAGCACTCTCTGTATCCGCTTCTTCCCCATCCTCTCTTTGCCTGACCTTCTGTGCTCTCTCCACTCCTTCTCCGTGGACCGTGTGTGCATATCCACATTACCCCTTCTCTTCCTCCTCTCCCCCATTTACCCCCACCCTTGCTTGACCCTCGCAGGTAGTGATGCTGATGATAGTGCCAATGATGGGTCGTTCAGTCCCCTTCAACACAGGTGTCGCCTTGACTGTCCTCTGCCCCCCTTTCTGCCTCCTCAACTTTTTGCCTACTTATCCTCTTTCCCTCCCCACCCCGCCCAACCACTCCTTGTCCCGCCCAACCCCCGGGCCCCAATTCCCAGATAGTGATGTTGGTGATAGTGCCGATGATGGGTCGTTCAGTCCCCTCCAACACGGGCGTCGCCATGACAGTGCTCTGCCTCGCAGCGCTCTTCGCTCAGAACGTCCCCCGGGCCATCCGATTCTTCCCCATCCTCTCCGGCAACGCGCCGCATGTCACCGGGCTCGTGTTTGAGACGGCGTGGGCCAACTTTCTGCTCAACTTTGTGTTCTACCTCATGGCATCCAACATCGTCGGCAGCATGTGGTACTTCCTCGCTGCCTCGGTGAGTGTCTTCTTTTCTGTCTTGAGGCCCCACCGCTATTTTCTGTCTTAAGGCCCCACCGCTCTTAAGACCTCATGGCGTCGAATGTGGTTGGCAGCATGTGGTACTTCCTCGCTGCCTCGGTGAGTGTGGTATGCATTTCCCGGCTTGACCTTTGAGGTGTCTGCTTGTGGGTTTGTGTTTGAGACGGCATGGGTCAACTTTCTGCTCAACTTGGTGTTCTATCTCATGGCGTCCAACGTGGTTTTTGAGGCGCCTAAAAATCGGGCTCGTGTTTGAGACGGCGTGGGCCTATTTTCTCCTCAACTTCGTGTTCTATCTCATGGCGTCCAACGTGGTTGGCAGCATGTGGTACTTCCTCGCTGCCTCGGTGAGTAAGTTGGCCTTTTGAGGCGCTGCAAAAGGCCCCGGGCTCGTGTTATGAGACTGCATGTGCCAATCCATGTTGTATCTCATGGCGTCTAGCATCGTGGGCATGGCCTCCAATGTGGTGGGCAGCATGTGGTGTTTCCTCGCTGCCTTGGTGAGTGCCTCTTGTCGTGTCGTGCCTTGCCTTGCACATGTCCTTTGCTCGCATCTCCCCACTGCTTCTGCCTGCCCCCTATCTCAACCCCCAGCCCATCGCCTACCACAACACAGCACAGTGGCAGCTGAGGGTGCAGCAGAGGCGGCAGCATGAGCGCATATATCCCCATCCCTTACCTATATTCCACTCCCTCCTTGAACCCGGCTATATTGAAATCACTTTTGAGAATTCTCAAAAGTGATTTCATTTCAATATATCCTTGCACCCCGTCTGCACCCTGTCTGCACCCTCTCTCAACACCCGCTTCCCCTCGTACACCCCCATATATCCCCATCCCTTTCCTACACTCCCTGCCTACACCCCCTTTCCCCTGCCCTCGTCAGCGCTTCACCACGTGTATGGCAGGCCAGTGTGCCACTCAGGGAGGCGCTTGTCAACCCGAGTACATGTACTGCGTCGACCACACCCCCCTCCCTACCCCCTCTCTCCGCCTCCCCTTTCTCCCGGGCAGCGCTTCACCACGTGTATGGCAGGCCAGTGTGCCACTCAGGGAGGCGCCTGTCAACCCGAGTACATGTACTGCGTCGACCAAAACTCCATCGCCTACCAGAACACTGCAGCAGAGGCCGCCTGGGCCACAGGCCCGGCTAGCGCGTGCCTGGTGGCAGACACACCCGGCAGTGACGCCCCGCCCTCCCCGATCGATTATGGCATCTTCACCAACGCTGTTCCGCTGGTGGTGGAAGGGGCGTTCCTCTCCAAGTACATCTACTCCTTCTTCTGGGGCTTCCAGGTGCGTGTGTATGCCTTATTCTTGGGCTTCCAGGTGCGTGTGTATGCCTTATTCTTGGGCTTCCAGGTGCGTGTGTATGCCTTATTCTTGGGCTTCCAGGTTTGTGTGTATGCCTTATTCTTGGGCTTCCAGGTTTGTGTGTATGCCTTATTCTTGGGCTTCCAGGTGCGTGTGTATGCCTTATTCTTGGGCTTCCAGGTGCGTGTGTATGCCTTATTCTTGGGCTTCCAGGTGCGTGTGTATGCCTTATTCTTGGGCTTCCAGGTGCGTGTGTATGCCTTATTCTTGGGCTTCCAGGTGCGTGTGTATGCCTTATTCTTGGGCTTCCAGGTGCGTGTGTATGCCTTATTCTTGGGCTTCCAGGTGCGTGTGTATGCCTTATTCTTGGGCTTCCAGGTGCGTGTGTATGCCTTATTCTTGGGCTTCCAGGTGCGTGTGTATGCCTTATTCTTGGGCTTCCAGGTGCGTGTGTATGCCTCATTCTTGGGCTTCCAGGTGCGTGTGTATGCCTCATTCTTGGGCTTCCAGGTGCGTGTGTATGCCTTATTCTTGGGCTTCCAGGTTTGTGTGTATGCCTCATTCTGTTTTTGTTACAAGGTCACCTCACTTGTTTCTCTCAAACCATATCCATCCATCCCTTCTGGGCCTTACAGGTGTGTGCCTGCCTTCCTCTCTCTCTTGGCATATGTAACTCGCCCCCTTGTTATGTTTCCAGAAATACCTGCTCAGACACTCACTCCTTTCCCTCTCCTTCCCCTCTCCTCTCATCACCACCCGTACAGCAAGTGAGCACGCTAGCAGGCAACCTGCAGTCGTCTGCTCTTGATTCGCCCCAGAAATTGACTCTCATGTCTTTCTATCAACCCCCCGCCCTCCTTTCCCACAGCAAGTGAGCACACTCGCAGGCAACCTGGAGCTGTCTTTTGTTTAGGCGCCTCGAACATGGCTCCCTCCCTTGTCATCCCATCCCCCTCCCCTCCTCCACCCCTCCCCCCACCCCCCTTTTCGCACAGCAAGTGAGCACGCTCGCGGGCAACCTGGAGCCGTCTAGGTGGGATCCGGAGGTTCTTTTTGTCATCCTCGTTATAGGGCTGGGGCTCGTGCTGCTCGCACTGCTTATTGGCAACATCTCCAACTTTCTACAAGCTCTCAGTAGAAGGTGGAAACTACTTCGTACACGTGTGCATTCGTTTATGATTGTTGGATGTACATATGAAAAGTATTTATGAAAAGAACAAGTAGTGCCATGACATTGATTCGTGGATGGAGAGGCGCAACCTGTTCAACTCCTCCCCGGTGCTCCTTTCTTCCCCCTTCCCCACTCTCTCTCCTACTTCGTTTCACCAGGTCCTTGGAGTACCAGTTGCAACGCCATGACATTGACTCGTGTTGCTCCCCCTACCCGTCCCCCCTTCTCCTCTTTTCCCCTCTTCTAACCTCACAGATCTTTTGAGTACCAGTTGCAGCGCCATGACATTGACTCATGGATGGAGAGACGCAACCTGCCCCTCAGCCTCCAAAAGTGAGTCCTCTCACAAATATCATTCTCATCCGCACTTGAAAGGAAACTTAAAAATTGTCGCAACAGCCTGTTTGTCTGTTTTTTCATGTGCTTCTAGTAGTGTGTCATGGAATTCAATCCCTGGGTGCAGAACCTACTCATATTAACCCAAAAGCCCTCTCCCGCTCTCCCTCCCTGTGCCCTACTCATTCTTTTCTCCAGCAGCGGCTGCACTGGGTGGCAACGAGGGGAGTGGAGGAGGCGGAGGTGCTGGACAAGCTTTCCATTCCGCACCTTGGGTCTTCTTCCTCTCTCCCAACCCAAGCAAGTGGCCCTAACTTGTGTGCCTCCCCTCTTCCGCACCTTGCCTTGTCGCTCCCTCTATCCAGGCGTGTGCAGAAGCAGCAGCGGCTGCACTGGGTGGCAACGAGGGGAGTGGAGGAGGCGGAGGTGCTGGATAAGCTTTCAGATGACATTCAGACGGACGTGCGCCGCAGCCTGTGCCTTGAGCTGCTGCAATGCGTGAGTGGTGATGTGTGGGTGAGTGGTGATGCAGCGTGTGTGTGATGGTGCAATGTGTGAGTGGGGCGTTCTGAGAGCGATGCAGTGTGTGAGTGCTGCAGTGAGACGAGAGGAGTGGAGGAGGCGGAGGTGTTGGATAAGCTGTCGGACGACATTCAGACGGACGTGCGCCGCAGCCTGCGCCTCGAGCTGCTGCAGTGTGCGAGTGGCGGTGGTGTGTGAGTGGTGATGTGTGTTCAATGGTGGAGTGTGGGTGGGAGAGAATGTGTGAGTGGTGCTCTGCGTGAGAGTGGTGCTGCAGCGAGAGGAGCCACCTTCTGAGATGAGAGGAGGGGAGTGGAGGAGGCGGAGGTACTGGATAAGCTGTCGGACGACATTAAGACAGACGTGCACTGCAGCCTCTGCCTCGGGCTGCTGCAGTGTGTGAGTGATGCAGTGTATGAGTGGTGGAAAAGTGTGCGAGTGCTGGGTGTGTGTGTGTGTGTGTGTGTGTGTGTGTGATGCAGTGTGTCAGTGTTGCAATGAGTGAGTTCAGCTCCCCTCTGTCCTTCCCTAACCACCCCACTTCCCTTCTCACCTGGCAATCATCTCCATGTCCCCCTTCCCCCAGTCGGCTCTCTTTTTCGCCATGGAGCCGCAAGTCCTCGACGCCTTCTGTCAGAAACTGCGGCAGCAGATGTACATAGAGGGCACGGTGATCCTCAAGGAGGGGTACCCTGTGTTGCTGCACTGCACCCAATGCCGCCACCCTTTCCCCCTTTCCCCCTGTTCCAGTCGGCGCTCTTTTTTGCCATGGAGCCGCAGGTCCTCGACGCCTTCTGTGAGAAGCTGAGGCAGCAGCTGTACATAGAGGGCACAGTGATTCTCAAGGAGGGGTACCCGGTGTCGCGCCTCTTCTTCGTGCTGCGCGGCCAGCTCGAGAGCTACACCACCATCGGCGGGCGAGCAGGATTCGTGGACAGCGTGCTGCTGGGGAAGGGTGATTTCCTGGGGGAAGAGTTGCTGGTCGAATACCTCGAGAAGCTGTCGGACAGAGACAAGAGCCGAAGATCCGGACCTGGCATACGCTATCTGGGCCGATGTGAGTACCTTAATCCTACACTAGCCTGGTGCGTGCCTGCTTGTAGCATCCCTGTCCCGCACTGCTGTTGTTCTGGTTGTTGTGGCGAGCGGCACGGTTGGTTGAGGGGGCAGCTCGAGAGCTACACCACCATTGGCGGGCGAGCAGGGTTCGTGGACAGCGTGCTGCTGGGGAAGGGGGATTTCCTGGGGGAGGAGTTGCTGGTGGAGTATCTTGAAAAGCTGCCGGATCGGGATAAGAGCCGGCGATCAGGACCTGGCATACGCTACCTGGGACGATGTGAGTAGTGGCCACCTGGGCTGTGCAAGGGGGGGAGGGGGGGGGGAGCAAGGGTGGATTTGTGGACAGCGTGCTGCTGGGGAAGGGCGACTTCCTGGGAAAGGAACTGCTGGTGGAGTATCTTGAAAAGCTGTCGGACCGTGACAAGAGCCGGCGATCAGGCACCCAGATTCGCTTCCTGGGCCGTTGTGAGCAGTAGCCGGTTGAGGTTGTGGTCAAGAGTACGTGGGATTTGTGGACAGTGTGCTGCTGGGGAAGGGAGACTTCCTGGGAGACTGCAGCCCGCTGGAATGTCTGATCACAGACTTCCTGGGAGACTGCAGCATGAGCGACAGCAGCAGGGCTGGGCACGCTAGCAATCGACGTGCTGCCGACAGCGCAGCGCATGGTGCGATGCATCGGGCCACTGATGTCACTGAGGGGTACGAGCTCGAAGCCACTGATGTCGCTGTGGTGTGAAGCCAGCAGCTCCCTCGCCTCATCTCCCCACTCTTCACCCCCCATTCCCCGACCTTCGCCCCCTTCCCTGCACCTCCTTGCTCCCCATCCCCCATTCCCACATACCCCGTGCAGCTGTGACGATGGGGGCATCAGCATCGGCGTCAGCAGCAGCGCTGGGAACGCTAGCAATAGACGTGCTGCCGACAGCGCAGCGCACGGTGCGGTGCATTGGGCCCGTTGAGGGGTACGAGCTTGAAGCCACCGATGTCGCTGTGGTGTGCCGCCAGTTTGCCCGAATGCTCTCCACCAGCAAGATCCAGGCGGCTCTCAAGTAGGTGGTGTGGCTCTCAAGTAGGTGGTGTGGTTCTCAAGTAGGTGGTGTGGCTCTCAAGTAGGTGGTGTGGCTCTCAAGTAGGTGGTGTGGCTCTCAAGTAGGTGGTGTGGCTCTCAAGTAGGAGGTGATTTGGTGTGCCCTGTTTGCTTGTTCTGGTGTAAGGGGGGAACAATCTGAAAGCAACAGTTGGCCCGCAAGCTCTCCACCAGCAAGATCCAGGCGGCTCTCAAGTAGGTGGTGTGGCCAGCAGGCTCTGCTCTGCTCTGCTCTTCTCTTTTCTTTCCTCTGCATCTCTGCTGGGTCCTCTCTCTGTCGTCCCTTTCATCCTCTTTCTATTCCCCCAACCCTCCACTGGCCTGCATCTGCTTCCCAGTGAGCGCTGCCACAGAAAGCAGAGACATGCTTTTCCTGTTTTAAGAATTCTCCAAATTATTCCGTACCAGGCACAGACATCCTCCCCAGCCTGTCTTTGCCTTCTCCGCTCCCTCCCTGGCTGTTATCTTTTTCTAATCTCCTGTTTGCCCCCCACCCTTCCGCTGACCCTTGTTTCTTCTCGCCCCCTCCCCAGTGAGTGCTGCCACAACCGGCGCACACACGCCGCCAGAACCATCCAGCTTGCGTGGAGGCGGCATCTCAGAAAGAAATACGGACTCACCATCCAGCAGGTGAGCCTTACGCACTCGTGAGTGTTGGACAGATGAGGCATTTGGACTGCGTTTCGTTTGAACTGGGTTTCGTTTGGGCCGGGTTGTTCTGATGCCATTCACAGGACTACATTCATAGCACCTGCACAGCCTATGACTGCACCCATCCTCGTTATAACCACCTCTCCTACAGGTTATGAGCACAGCAAACTGGAACCGCATGCAGGTGGTGGTGCGCAAAGCACTAACTGCACCCACCCATCCTCGTTATAACCATCCCTCCTACAGGTTATGAGTGCAGTGAACCAGAACCGCATGCAACTGGTGGTTCGCAAAGCACTGGAATTGCAGGTGGGGGGAAGCGGACGCAGAGACAGCGAAGCAGGGGATTCAAGAAACAGCAGCAGGCGGATGTGAGGGAAAGATGCTGCAGTGCAGGGTGTTACGAGTTTCAGAACAGCAGGAGGCTTGTTCAAGCTCTTGTTAGTTACTGCTTGTCAATGGGCTCAGAACAAAACATACCAGCAAACAGACTGTCAAGTCAACATGGAATGGCAAGCAAGAACTCAATGCTGCACCCATGTCGTGGTGCAATTATTGAATTTTGTATTACGGTATCGTTAACGTTGTGATGAAGGTGATTGATCCACGTATGGTAGTGCATGCATACACGTTACACTAAGGCAAGCATGTAGAGAGCAGTCATGCTCTGCTTTCTTTGCTCTCTCCAGACAATTACCCAGCCAGCTTTTGAGGGTCAGGACTCAGGCAAGTCAAGAGGCTGAAGTATAGTCCAGTCCAGGCGTACCATCCTCAAAACACTTGCGCGCATAAAATGAAGAATCTCTTCTGAGTCGACCCACAGTCACCTCGTCACGCGGAGTGGAAGCCACTGTGTCACAGCACATTCAAGTGGGGGTACTGCCAAGCACTGCTTGCAGGCACGCCCTGGCAAAATCGTCGTATAGCTGGAGGCCCCCAAAGGCCATCTGGGCAGGATGGGAGGAAAGAGAGAGAAAGAAGGAAGAAAATAATGAAAAATGGAAAGAAAGAGGGAAAGAAAGAAATGGAACGGTGAAACCAGGGGGCGAAAGCAAGAGGCAAACAGGCGAAAGCACAATTGTCTCGGCACTCACCACTTTAGTCTCAGCACTCACCGCTTTGGTCTGCTCGTCCCCACTCTCCTCAGCAAGTCTCCCCAACCACGCAGCCATCACCCGCAGCATCCCTGACAGTCCCACTCCTGCACCCCCAGCACCACCCCCGGCAGCTGTGGTGCCTCCGGTAGCAGAGGCAGCAGAGGAGAAGAGGAGGAGCCCTTGGGCTGCGACGGCAGCCGGGGGTAACGAGAGGAGCAGAGAGGCTGCAGCGAAGATTGCACAGCGCTGCACATAGGGCTCTGGGTGCTGGGCGATGGGACTGGGGGGGAGGGGGGGAGGTTGGGGGAGAGATAAGGTGGGGGAGACGGGAAAGAGGATGGAAGTGGGTGTTTGAGGCTGCAGCGATGATAGCTGAAGTGGTGTACTAGCAGTGCTGCCAGAAGACTTACTCGCCTGGCATAGAAAGCACCCTCTCTCACCTGGCGTTGATGAACTCCAACAGAGCAGCGGCAAGGGGAAGGGTTGACGGCGATGGGGAAACAAGGCGGAGGCACTTTCCTAGAAGCAGCAGCATGCGCGCGAGAACCACAAAGTCCCGCCCCACCCAGTCCACCCCGTGGCTCTGCCTGTCGTACGCTCGCATCAGCGGCAGCATAAACCCCGCTGCCACGTCAGCGAATCGCAGGCGTGGAGCTGTACACGTGGGCACATCACGCTGACTGTGCATCTGCTGGTTCGGACCGCTGCTTCCTTGAAGCTTCTCTCTCGCGGATTCAACTGCTTTGGAGGTTCGCTTCTCCTGCCCGAGAATGCGGTCGCCAGGTCGCCGGGGCAGGTCTCTCACAAAAATTTTCGTCCAACTGCTCGTGACCCCGGTCACGCCGAACCCTCCGCCTGCTTCTGCTGACGCTAACATCGCCTTGGCCAGCTCGGGCTGCCCGAGATCTCCAGGCAGAATCCCGGGCAGCTGAACCCATTTACCAGCACCGGGAGGGGAGGGTGAGAGGGAGTGAGCGGGATTATCCCATGGGGTAGGGCCAGTTTGAATCTCAACTATCAGGGGAGTGTGCGAGCGAGAGGTGGAAAGGGAGAAGGCAGAGAGGGGTGGAGCAAGGGTGGTGGTGACAGATGAATAAGTGGAGGAGGCGTGAGAGGAGGAGGAAGAGGTGGAGGAGGAGGAGTAGGAGGCGAGTTCGATAGCAGCTGCTTCGAGAACGTCCAGGATGAGCAGGCGCTGACTGAGGTCCACGTGGGCAGAAAACACCTCCCCCAGAAGCACCTCCAGCGATGCGACCGGGGAAAAGACTACCAGCGCCACCAGCGCTGCCCTCCTCCTCTCCTCCGCCCCCCCTGCTCTCTGCGCTCCTCCCCTTCCTTCTCCGCCTTGCATGCTGCCTCCCTCCCTTTGCTTGCCTCCATTTCTTTCTCTGCTGCCCTTCTCCTTGTTACTGAGAGAGCCCCATTCTTCTACCTCACACTCCTCTACCGCCCCTCCTCCCTCCTCCTCGCTCCCGCTCTCCTCCTCTCCCTCCTCCCCTCCCTCCTCCTCCGGTTCTTCCCCTACCAAGAGGAACTGGCACTGAATGTGGATAAGGGAGCGAGCCAGCTCAGCTGCCACGTCATCCAGCTCGTCCGGTTGGCAGCGGATCATTGGCTCAAGGGACAGAAGCGCCCGCTCCATCTGATAATGAAGGTACAAGCAGAATAAGACAAAAGAGTGTGAGATTCTTTTGTGAAAAATCCTTCAGTAAAGCGGGAAGCACCGAGCAACAGGGAAGGAAGGCGGTCACGAAGAGAGGAAGAAAGACCTGGCAGGAGGAGCAAGCGAGGGAGCAGCTGACGTCATCAACACTCACTGCGCTGACGTCATCAACTCTCACCGCGCTGACGTCATCAACACTCACTGCGCTGACGTCATCAACACTCGCCGTGCTGACGTCATCAATTCTCACCGTGCTGACGTCATCTACACTCACCGCACTGACGTCATCAACACTCACCGCACTGACGTCATCGGCCTTCCTCAGACCTGCTGCACAGTAGCGCAGCTGCATGGGGGCCGGCATTCCACTCGCTTCTCCACTCATGGCCACACCCACGCCCACGCCCACGCCCCTTTCATCCTCCTCTTCCTCCTCGCTCTCCTCCTCGCTCTCCTCTTCCTCCTCATACCAGTCCTCCTCACTCCACTCTTCCACACTCTCCTCCTCGCTCCCTTCCACACTATCTTCCTCACTCCCTTCCACACTCTCATCCTCCTCATCCTCACCCAAGTCCCCCTCTTCTCCTCCTCCTTTATCCACTTCCCCATTCTCACCTCCCCCACCATCCCTACCTGCCCCCTTCACCCCTTCCCCTCCTCCTTTCTCCTCCCTACACGCCTGCCCAGTCAACCCCCCAACATCCCATCCACATGCAAAATCTAGCGCAGCAGCAACAGCCGCCTCGCGAGTCGACTCAACAGCACCTGCACTCTCCCCACTTCCCCCACTTCCTCCTCTCCCTCCTCTCTTCCCCTCCTCCCTACCGGCGACTATCCCTTTCTCGTATGCGAACTCCCCGAACAGCACGGGGGGACGATCAGGGTGAACAGCCACAGAGAAGGCAAAGGCAAGCCTTTGCCCCATCAGGCGCACCAATGGAAGGGGGCTTTCAAGCCGCACTGCGCATCAGCAGCAGCAACGGGCAGCAAGGGAGGATTGCGTTGCAAAGTAGTCGAATGGGTGTGATGCGATGCATGGATAGAGAAGGCGACGGCAAGGCGCTGATGTTGAATGGGTGCGCTGCGATGCACGGATAGATTTTTGAGAATTCTCAAGAATGGGTGCGCTGCGATGCGATGCATGGGTAGAGAAGGCAACGGCAAGGGGCTGATGTTTGAGGCGCCTCAAAAATTGACGGCAAGGCGCTGACCCATCAGGCGCGCCAGCGGGACAGAGGCTCATGATGGGTGCGCTGCCCTGCTGGTCCGCACCCATCACATCACAGCAACGGGTGAGAATTTGATTCGCCAGCATTGAGAATTGACTCAAAGGCAACACTTGCATTGGCACGTGCATTTGCAGTGTCACAACACGAAACACTACTACAGACTTTCGAGTCGTCTACGAAGTTGAACTCTCACAGGATGGAAACTTACTAGAGACGCCCTTTAGAAGCATTGTGAGCAGCGATGGGTGCAGCCGGCTGGGCAGGGAGAGGAGAAAACCTGCTGCTGCTGTCACATCTGCCAGGAGGACAGGATCGCGAATAGGCAGGGAGCACGAATCAGAGGAGATGGGAATGGCAGAGGGACGGAAAAGATCTCACCCTTCTCCCGCCACTCCCCCTCCCCTCATCCTCAGACAAAGAACTCACTAATTTGGTCTGGCTAACGGTTCTCTTGGAAAGCAAATGAGAACGTTTTTTTCTTCTTTCTGACTCACAGATCTGCTTTTCCATGGATGCTGATTGGACGAGAGCTGATGAACTCCACAGGCGCAGCACGTGCTCTAGTGCCACGTGGCACAACCCCATTGGCTCGAGTGCAGGGGAATCGTCAGCAGAAAGTTGGGAGGAGGGGGGGGAGGAAGAGGAGGAGTCAAGGAGGGTGACAATCCAAGGGAGGCAGGGGAGGGGAAGGAGGGAGCGAGTGAGGAGGTGAGACGTGAAGAGGTACCTGGCATGATTGGTTGAGAAGACGAAGAGGGAAGGGAGGGGAGGGGAGGGAAGGGGAGGGAGGGGAGAGAGGGGAGGGGAGGGGGGATAAGCAGTTGCAGCGAGGTAGTACAGGTCTTGTGACACAATTCTCAGCGAGCTGCAAACTCACACTTTGGAAATTTTGAGTGCATCATGCATCAACTCACACTGCATTTGAGTCGACTCAAAAGTCACCTTTGGAAATCCTGTGTGCATCATGCATCAACTCACAGTGCTTGAGGGTGCCTCTCAGCCAGCAACCCCTGAAACAGCACCTGCAGCACAGCCTCTGGCACATTGCTGCTGCCGCTGCTGCTACTGCTGCTGGACAGGGGTAGTGGTTGTGCTGCCGCTGCTACTGCTGTGGGAAGTGGTGGCGGTGGAAGTGGTGGGAAGAGCAGCAGAGAGGGCAGCGAGGTGGGAGAGAAGGGCTTCTGCGAGCTGGTGCAGGGGGAAGGCGTCAGCAGCAGCGAGGGAGGCGATGATGGTGGAGTAGAGAGAGGCGAGATGCGGGAATGAGGAGCTGCTGTGGCTGGTGGTAGTGGGGTTGTTGGCGTTGCTGCTGCTGATGCCGCTGCTGCTGCTCGTGCTGGTGCTGCTGGTGCTGGTGTGTGTCGGTGCTGACGTGGCATGCGCCAGCTGTCGGATGATTGTGTGGACGAGCTCAGATGCCACCGTCGCTGGGGGAGGGGCACACGGCAAGGCAGGCAGAGAGGGAGGAAAGGGAGGTGAGGGAGGAGAATAGGGAGGTGAGGGAGGAGAATAGGGAGGTGAGGGAGGAGAATAGGGAGGTGAGGGAGGAGAATAGGGAGGTGAGGGAGGAGAATAGGGAGGTGAGGGAGGAGAATAGGGAGGTGAGGGAGGAGAATAGGGAGGTGAGGTAGGAGAATAGGGAGGTGAGGGAGGAGAATAGGGAGGTGAGGGAGGAGAATAGGGAGGTGAGGGAGGAGAATAGGGAGGTGAGGGAGGAGAATAGGGAGGTGAGGGAGGAGAATAGGGAGGTGAGGGAGGAGAATAGGGAGGTGAGGGAGGAGAACAGGGAGGTGGGAGGGGGGAGAAACGGGTGGAGGAGAAGAGGAGGAGGGAGGGAGAGAAATTGCATTGGGAATCGAAAAGTACTGAGCCGGCAATCAGGGTTGAGATAAAATCCTCCCTCGCTCACATCCACCATACTTCACTCCACCATACCTCAACCCACCATACCTCACTCCTCCACCATAGCTCACCTCAACATGCACATGCCCGCATGCTCCCTGTGTCACACCACAGGCACCAGTCACCATAGCTCACCCGCATGCCCTCTGCGGAACAGCCTTGCCACCAGCTGCCCCACGAAAGCCTCTGAAGACAAATTTTGAGGCGCCTCAAAATACAAACCACTGCTGTTGCTGCTGCTGCTGCCACTCACTCACGCCCCATTCACACCCCCGCCACTGCCACTCACCCCCATGCCCCCCCCCCCACCACTACTCACTCACCCCCATGCCCCCCCCCCCACCACTACTCACTCACCCCCATGCCCCCCTCCCCCCCAACAACTCACTCACCTGCATGCCCTCTGCGGCACAGCCTTGCCACCAGCTGCCCCACAAACGCCTCTGGGGAGATGCTTGTTGGGTGGGAGGGAGGCGAGAGGGGAGGTGGTGCTGTCGCCAAGGAGGAGGAGGAGGAGGAGGAGCGAGAAGCAGCGATGTCGGCAGTGGTGGTGAGAGCTTCACGGATGAGGGACGAAATGAAGTGCCTGGTTGGGCACAGAGGGAGTGAGGGTGGGGCATCGGGATAAGTTTCTGATTGAGCAACCACTGCCACTGAGGGATTTGTATATTTGTTATTTGGGAATCACTTTTGAGATTTCTCAAAAGTGTTTCTGATTGAGCAACCACTGCCACTGAGTGCAGGAACGACTAAGTGCCGTGGGCGACTGTTTCTGCGGCGCTTCACAAGGAAGTGCACGAGCAGACAAAAAGAAAGAGTCATGCAAAAGGTGCGGCTTCTGAGTTGCATGAACAAGAGCGGGACGCGCAGACAAAAACAAAGCGTGAGCGCCTTGCTTTGCCAAAGAAAAAACAGCGAGAGGAGAGACGTTACGTTACAGTATGAGAGGGGGAGGAGGGCAAGTGGAAAAGAGGGTAGGAAGAGGAGACACTCATGGAGGCCTAGTGCCTTCTATTCTAATCAATCAGTTGAGCTCCATTTCTATCAGGAAGACGACACACTCACGGAGGACACAGGGCAGGGGGGGCGTGTGGCGACGCCCTGTCTGTCACCGATGCCAGCTGGGACACCACTCTCTCCACGCTGTACTCTCCTCTCCACCCTGCTGCTGACGTGGCTGACGCTGCTGACGTGGCTGACCCTGCTGACGTGGCTGACCCTCCTGACGTGCACCCACTTGATTCCAGGTGGATCAAGAACCTGTGCAAGCCCCCTGACTTCGAAAGCCCCCCTGCGCCACCAGTTCCTCCAGCCATGCTTTCTGGCCCAGTGCCATTTAAGCACGTGTCAGGAGTAGTAGAAACCGCAGGCACAGACTGTGCACCTGACCCACAGGTGTGCCTCACAACATGGCCTGTGGGGCCGTCGGGTAAGCCAATTGCGAGGAGCAGCAGCCTGGAGGCATGGGCGGGCAGGAAATGGAGGGAGGGAGGGAGGGAGGGAGGGAGGAAGGGGACCATCACATCACTTAAGGATTTCATACAAACCTGCTTAAGGAGGAGAAGCGTGGATGTATGGGCGGGCGGGAGAGGGGAAGAGGGAGAGAGATGGATTCGACTGGATTGGATTAAATAGGATTGGATTGGATCGCATTGAATTGGGCCGCAGCAAAATCATGTTCAAGCAGCCCATTGTCTGCCTGGTGCAAGTACGCTCCCACCTCTCGGCCTCCTTGCGTGCAACGCTCCTCCTCCTCCCCTGCGCCACTCTCTCACACACCCCTCCACCCAAAGCATCACCAGCAGCAGCAGCGCCACCACCACCACCGCCAACATCCTTCCCCTCACTCCCCTCCCCAGCACTTCCCCCCATCCCTCTCCCCCCATCTTCCCCCCCACGCGACTCCTCGTCCGCGGAAGCAGTGTAGGCGGAGGGGGAGGCGGAAAGGAGGGGGAGGAGGGCGTCTAGCGCGGAGGGGAGGGGCGCGGAGAGGAAGAGCGGGTCGAGCAGGGCGCGGCGGGCGGAAGGGGGAAGCACTGGCGTTGCTCCTGGAGGGGGAAAGGGGAGGGGGATGGGGAAGCGGAGAGGGAGGGAGGGAGCATGGGGAGTAATGGAAATGAAATAGGGAGGCAGTGAGAAGGAGATGAAACGAGAGGGGAGAGGCGAAGCGCGAGACCAACGAAGGGAGCAGAAGCAGATGCGGGAGCGATGAGAGCACACGGCGGAAAAACACGAGGGACAGAGAAGAAAAGGGAGGAGAAGGGAAACGACAAAAGGGAGGGGACTGTTGTCGTACGGACGGAGCAGATGCCGCTGTGAGAGGGATGTGAGTGGCGGAGAAAACGAGGGAGAGGAAACGAAGGAGTGGGAGGTAAAAGAATGAGAGCAGTAGGGAAGAGAGAAACGGGAAAAGGGGTTTATTGTCGTACGGACGGAACAGAAGCAGCTGCGAGAGCGCCACGAGGTGGTCCGATAGTAGCACGCGAAGAGGTGACAATATTGGTGCCTTCGCTTCTGTCACTGCGGCGTCTCTCACGGCCGTGGAGAACGCTTCATCTCCGGTCCCGTCCAATGCGCTGCTCGCGCGATCCGCCGCTACAGCCGATGCGCCAGCGCGCACGTCTGGTGCCAGCAAAGAGGCGACAGCTGTTTCAACGGCTGCCACGTCAGCAGCCGCGTCTAGGCTCCGTTCCAATCGTGTGAGGAGCCGAACGGCTTCCTCCTTCTCGTCCAATGGCTGCTCTTGCTGCGCTCTAAAGTGATCTACGGGATCTGATCGACCGCTACTCATCGAGGTGCTGTCATCCAGTCGAGTCGCCTTATGGGTCGCCATATCATGTGGCGTCATACGAGTCGCCATCAAATTCAACTACAATTCTGCTGTTGATGAGTCTGGTTGAGGAGCTGTAATATTTTTCCGCGTAGAAGCGACCTCGTTATCATCTTTGTACAATGTGCTGGTTTGCCACGATAATAAATAGGCAGCTCTGTCAAACTCATTCTCTATTGAAAAAAAATACTGCAGTTGACTATTTAACCCTTTTCATAATAAAATAACCGCACATTTTCATCCCTCTTCTCGCTTCCCAGGCTCATCATCCCTGAAGTATTTCTCCTGAACATCCCCTATCGTGGAAAGGTCATTCAACATACCGAATAAACACCAGCGCAAATCACCATGGGGACAGGATGGTCGTTATCACATAAAAGAGGCCGCAAGAAGGATTGTTATGAAGAGGTGCAGGTTAAGGAAACTGAATTTATTACCGTACTTGGATGGGAAGTTTGAAGTGTACCGGTAGAAAGGAAGCATGACTTGGTTAGGTAGATACAGGGAGGGGTGAGGAAGACAAGGGGAGGGGAAAACCAAAACAAAACAAAACTGGAGGCCTTTACAAGAATAAATTGGAACAAGAGCGGGTTTATATGGGGATTACGATTCACAGATGAAAGGTTCAAGTGGGTAGACGAGGGCGGGTGGGACCGTGGGGAGGAGTGTATATAGCAAAGAACATGTGCCAGAGAAGGGTGAGTGAAGAGGGAAACGTAGAAGTGAGTGTGAGGGCTAAGAGAGTGAGAGAGATTGTGAGGGGTAAGAGTGAGAGAGATTGTGAGGGGTAAGAGAGAGAGATTGTGAGGGGGATATCTTTCCTCCTCCCACTGCATGGAGCGTGTGGCGATCTTGGAGTACTCAGCAGCGCTCGCCTCTATCCCCGCAAACACATAGCCGTTCGCCCGGTCGATTGTGCGGATCAGATTTGATACGCTCTCCTTGTCCTGGCAGGAAGACACGGCAGGCAGAGAGGGCGGAGGGCGGACGGAAGTGATTCGGGGGGGGGAAGACGTGTGGGAAGTAAGGGGGGAGGGATACCAGCAACAAGATGAAATGACGCTAGGGGTGAGTTGAGTGGGTGGGGCGACGGGGCTGAGTGGGTGAGAAGAGGGGTGGGGTGAGAGATGTTGGTCGTGTGAGCAAGTGAGTGGGGAGGGAGAAGCATGCTTGCCCCACCTGAATGTTGAGAGTTTCAAACGAGACGAGGCCGAAATCATCCACCACTTCACACACTGCTGATGTCAGCTTGCTGCGTGGGGGGGGTGGAGGGAAGGGGGGTGGCGATGGGGACAGGGAGGGGTTGGGTGGGTGGGTGGGTGGTGGAACAGGGGAGGGGTGAGTGGGTGATGGGGCGGAGGAGGGGAAAGACCACGGAAAATAGGAAGTCACTAAAAAACACTTGTCTTGGGGGCACGGTTCAGTAGGACAGCGAGCGCACTGAAAACAGAGCTCTTTCAGAGGCAGTAGCTCACTAATGCACAGCAGAGCAGATCACTGTCAGGGAGAAGAGAAAAGAAGAGAGAGGGCAACTTGAGCGTGCAGAGGAGCATGCATTGGAATAGTGCACTCACGCGTAGCGCTTGTTGCGCGGATCGCTCTCGAGATGCTGCTGCAGGTACGAGAGGTCCTGCACGTCTGTATAGAAGTCGAGATTGAAGGCTAAGGGGGGGGGGGGGGGGGGGGGGGGGGGGGGGGGGGGGGGGGGTGGAGAGGGGGAGGGCGAGAAGGGCAAAGTAAGCTTTGGTCTTTGAGCTTTGCTTCTTGGGGTTTGAAGGGATGGAAGTTGAAAGAAAGTTCGAAGACAGCTTGGAGACTTGAAGTGGACATGGACCAGACTTGAAGGTAACATGTGAGTGACAAGTATGGATGCGAGGAAACCAAGGAACACTCACCCAAGGGTCCATACGCCTCAACGAGATCGATTTTCGAGAGAACGTTGACGTGTGGTAACTCGAAGTGTAACATTGCCTGCCAAAGCAACAATCCACGATTATGCATACAGTGCATTTTTACATGTGTGTTTGTAATATGACCGCTCCAGCTTTCCAGGAACATCAACGAGGAGAATAGCAACAGAAGATTGAATTTGCTGGCAGTTGGAGAGAATTTGAGACGTTTACAATCTCGAGCGTACTCGTTATTAGATTCACACAGCATAGTGGGTTTGTGTAGAGCCTGCAGCGACAGCAACAGCACCGGCAAATCTGAAACATAATCTGCACCCTGGCATTGCCTCACGCTTTACCTGCAGTGACAGCAGCAGGGCTGACACGTACTTGTGCGGCTCGCTGCACAAATGCGCATCCACCAGATGAACGGCTGCTAGCTGGACTGACGGGTGGGGGAAGAAGGGGTGGGGTGGGGAGGGATACCTGTGGCTGTGAGTGGTACGAGTCAGCCAAAACTTGTGTGACTCGCTCCACAGATGTGCGCCCACCAGATGCACGGCTGCTAGCTGGATTGTGTGGAGGGGTGAGAAGGGGTGGGGAGGGATATCTTTGAGTGGTACGAGTCAGCTATAACCTGTGCGGCTCGCAGCACAGATGTGCGTCCACCAGATGCACGGCTGCTAGCTGGATTGTGTGAAGCTTGGGGGGGGGGGGGGACGGGGTGAGGGGGGGAGGGGGTGGGGGGGCATTTACGGACAGGAGGGTACTGGGGTGACAGCAGCAGCAGCGCTGCCACGTACTTGTGCGGCTCGCTGCACAAATGAGCTCACAATGTCGTGCTTCTTGTCAGTGAGGCGCTTGATCACACTCCGCACAGAGTCCACTCAAGCACTGGCTGGCTGGATTGCTGGCTGGAACCCCCTCCCACTCCCACTCCATCCACCATGCTCACTCTGTAGTGCATCTTGTCGGTGAGGCGCTTGATGATGCTCTGCGCACTGGCGTGTAGAGTGAAGAGCTCCACTTGGCCTGGGAAGTCGAAGAGGAAATAGTGGTCTGATTGTAACAGGGATGGAAAGGGGCAGAGGGGAGTGAAAGAAAGAGACGAGAATGAGAAGTAAGGAAAGTGTGTTGGCAACGTAATCTGCTTGTGACTTGCAACTTGCAAAAGAAAGGCAGCAAGAGATAGGTAGCGAGAGATAGGTAGCGAGAGACAGCTTGCAAAAGATAGTTTGGACTGACCCTTTTCAAGAGGCTTTAGCTTGCTCTGCAGCCAGTCAAAATTTTTGTCTATGTAGTCCATGCAGTACACGAGACCTGGGCGTGGGATGAGGGAGGAGGGTGGGCGGAGGAGGTGGGCGGAGAGGAGAGGAGAGGAGAGGAGAGGAGAGGAGAGGAGAGGAGAGGAGAGAAGAGGAGAGGAGAGGAGAGGAGAGGAGAGGAGAGGAGAGGAGAGGAGAGGAGAGGAGAGGAGAGGAGAGGAGAGGAGAGGAGAGGAGAGGAGAGGAGAGGAGAGGAGAGGAGAGGAGAGGAGAGGAGAGGAACGAGAGAAGAGGAGAGGAGAGGAGAGGAGAGGAGAGGAGAGGAGAGAAGAGGAGAGGAGAGGAGAGGAGAGGAGAGGAAAGGAGAGGAGAGGAGAGGAGAGGAGAGGAGAGGAGAGGAGAGGAGAGGAGAGGAGAGGAGAGGAGAGGAGAGGAGAGGAGAGGAGAGGAGAGGAGAGGAGAGGAGAGGAGAGGAGAGGAGAGGAGACGAGAGCTTCAGAACGTCTCAAAAGTTGAAGGGCTTCAGCTTGCTCTGCAGCCAGTCAAAGTTTTTGTTGATGTAATCCATGCAGTACATGACCTGTGGGGGATGGGGAAAGGGAGCGAGAGGAGACGAGCTGAGGCGAGGTGAGAGGAGTACAGAAAGAGCACGCGTTCTTGTCTATGTAACCCAAATCCATGCAGTACACGAGACCTGGGTTCAGGATGGGGGAGGAGGGAGGGAGGAAGGAGGGAGGAAGGGTGGGGGAGAGGGAACGAGAGGAGATGAAAGTATTGAAACGTCTCAAGAGCTAAGGGGCTTCAGCTTGCCCTGTAGCCACTCGAAGTTCTTGTATATGTAATCCATGCAGTACACGAGACCTGGGTTCAGGATGGGGGATGAGGGAGGGAGGAAGGGTGGGGGAGAGGAAACGAGAGGAGATGAAAGTATTGAAACGTCTCAAGAGCTAAGGGGCTTCAGCTTGTTCTGTAGCCAGTCGAAGTTCTTATCTATGTAGTCCAAACAGTACACGAGACCTGCGAGTGGGATGGGGGGGAGGGATGGGAGGGAGATGAGAGCAGATGAGACGAAACGGGATGAGACGAGAAGAGTGGGGTACGGGAAGAGCATGCGTTCTTGTCTATGTAGTCCATACAGTACACGAGACCTGCGAGTGGGATGCGGGGAAGGGATGGGAGGGGGGTGAGGGAGTGGGGAGGGAAAGAGGTATCGGAGAGGGTAGCGACACGAGAGAAAGTCACGGACTGGGCAGGAGCGGGAGAGGAAAAACAGACACCAGAACACCCTAATAGGATCCACTCCACTCAGGCCCACTTCCCTTGTCACACCTGAAGACGGTCTTCACATGTGTGTGAAGTGACATGTCGCGTCGCGTCTCACCTCACCACTCTTGAGTCCCTCCCAGCCCATGCTGCTGCATCACGTACGTGACACATCGTCGAGCAAGAAAAATACAGACCGTTCCTCACGTGCTGCTGCTGCTGCTGCTGCTGCTGCCCACCGTTCCTCACGTGCTGCTGCTGCTGCCCACCCCACCCTTCCTCATCCGCCCCACCTCTCAGCTCACCTCCGTTCGGGCCCAGCCCGTGCTGCCCCATCACGTCCTCCAGGCGAACGAGTTCCTCCACGTTCACTGCACACTCGTACCTGTGCGGTCGAAGGGGCAAAAGAGGGGAGGGAACAAGGAGGGGTGGGGTGGAAGAGGGAAAGGAGGAGGGGGGAAGGGGGGGGGGGGGGGTCGAGTTTGTGTGAATGTAATAGGCGGCTCTCCAACAGCCCGTGCTGCCCCATCACGTCCTCCAGGCGAACGAGCTCTTCTACGTTCACTGCAGTCACGGAGTGGATGAGGGGAGCGGGGGGGTAGCATGGGATGGCATGGCATGGTTCGGCAAAGGAGGGCATGGCATGGAACAGCACGACACGGCATGGGATGGCATGGCATGGTTCGGCAAGGGAGGGCATGGCATGGAACAGCACGACACGGCATGGGATGGCATGGCATGGTTCGGCAAAGGAGGGCATGGCATGGAACAGCACGACACGGCATGGGATGGCATGGCATGGTTCGGCAAGGGAGGGCATGGCATGGAACAGCACGACACGACACGGCATGGGATGGCATGGCATGGGGTACATGATGTGGAATGCAACTCACGGCAGACGATCATTGGCTGGATCCATGTTGACCACTGCCACCTTCCTGTGATGGAGATTTGAAACGGGATTATAATGGCATGGATGGCATGGAATTGTAACGGGATGGATTTATTACGGCATGGGATTATAGCGGCATGATGTTATTGTAACGGGACAGGATAATGGGTTGCGAAAGACTGTTCACGAAGGCTGAATGGAGCATAGAATTTCTTGGCACTTAGCAGGGTACAACACACGGATTAGTACTACTGTCTTTCTTCTGCTAAAAGTGACTTCCCGACTGCAGCTCGCCCAGTCCGCATGGCTGACTGTTCACGAAGGCTGAATGCAGCTGACTGAATCTCGTGTGAGATGGTACGAGACTGTGAGATGGTACGAGACTGTGAGATGGTACGAGACTGTGAGATGGTACGAGATGCATGAAGTTGAGCAAGCTGATTCTGACGTCGCCTGACGTGGTGAAAATAAGAGGTGTGTGATACGTGGTGAAAATAAGAGGTGAGTGAGACGCGGTGGAAAACAACGGGCAGCAGTCTGACGTCGGAAGACGCGGAATGAGCCAGACCGAACCTTCCTAGAAGCTGCATGAACTGCTGCATGCCATTGCAGTACGTGGTCTTCCCCGACCCTGGCGGGCCGATCACGATCTGCCCGAACGGCATCGATGCTGGGTTTGCAGATAGTGGAGGAAAAAAACCAACAGCTTTTCAGGTAAGCACGATGACGCTTCTAAGACTGACTACTAAGATGGTCGGAGTGGCTTGGACCGCTTCGTTGACCACACGACTTGGACACATCGTCAACAGCATCCGGGATTTACCAATGTTTCTGCGTTATAGAGTTTGCGCTAAGATAACAACAATGCTTCTGCTCAAATTCTCACCAATTAATTAGGTGCCTTCCGTTTTAGTCCATCAGATATGTGCAACCAATGCGACCAATGTACATATAGTCTTTCTTCAGATGTCCCTTTTTACATGAATACTCTTACCTGGAATATCTAAAAGTTGCTCAACATCCCATTCAAACTAATTCGATGCATATGATGTATAATGGAATATACGGTATAACCAAAAGAAACTTGAGGAGTTTGGGAAGAAAAATGGGCAACGCACGGATTGGATGGACTTGATATATCGGTAGGTACTTAATGTTACGAATAGTGAACTGAGAAGCGTTACTGCACATTCCCACCAGTAGCAAGAATGAAGAACGCATTAAGGGGAACGAAGGCGAATGGTTGAGGCGACACGAACAGTTGCGAAGCATGCGGACTGTCGGAGCAGACAACATCGAGCAGCTGCAGGTGCAAGGGAATTGGCGGGAACAGTTTTCGTAACTGTACGCGCCGCACGGTTGGGTTTGAATTTGAATAAGGGAATGTACCCCTTAGAGTACATGGCTAGACTACGACTTTTCGTATTCTCAGTACTATTATATGAACCGCTGTATTTGTTTGTTTAATCATCTCAATCATTTTATATTCACTCTGATCTCAGGTCACTTTCTTCCTCTGCAACACCCTGATTTTGCGAACCTTTCTCATATGATCCTAGGCACGATCTACCTTCTGTTCGCTATTCGGTATGAGAGCGACACAGGAATCCTTCGCAATGCCACCACCAAAATCTTTGGCGAATTAAAGTGGCGTCCGACACACCATTGCGCGTAAGAATGGCAGGTGGATCTGGAGGTCAGACAAATCTGACCGCTGAAACTCAAGCCAACCCGGCTGCGATGAACGAGGAGATGACGACGATCAGCACCGCCGCCCTCGCACAACTGCTTCAGCGACTTTCTAATTTGGAGCAAGGACTCCAAACATTGCGGAACGACTATGCGAGAACATCTTCCTAAACCTCTCAACCGGCCCCAAACGGTCGTGGCACCGCCCCGCACACCTTCTCCCTCGAAACGAATGGCTCAATACCCAAGACTCCTCGTCACAGTGATGAAGCTATTCTCTTCGATCAATCAAGGTTTTTGAGCATATAAAAAACAAAGACAAGTCCTTGTTTTGACGACAGAGACTTCTATACATGGAGCTTTGAGCTGGAGTTGCTGGTGCAAAACGCACAGATTCTCCACTATTTCGACAGGAGTTATGCAGGACCCACGACCGACTCCGACGACGTCAAGGCGCAGTATTACAGCGAATCGCTGATGGCGTACGGCGTGCTTCTCCGCAATTTGTCGTTCCTACAAGAATACGTCCGCCCCAGCAGTTGAAGCTTGGCGATACTTGAACGGTGTTTACCAACCAAAGGACTCAGTTTCATCGAGTCGCTTGCTCCAGCAGCTACTGGAGACAAAAATGGCGACAGGAGAGAAGGCCGATACCTACATCAACCGTTGCCGGAGCTAACACGATCAAATCGAGAAACTTGGAAGCACGATTTCGGAGGAAATTTTCGTCAATACCGTGCTCGCATGACTCGGCCCAGAATGGCAACCCTGCAAGGCGCTTCTCCGGCAACAAGGCGCTATCTCGGAAGCAGCCCTATGCGCCGCCCTTCTCGTCGAACAAAGAGGCATGGACCAGCAGCGACTAGCGCCGCGACGAGACCGGGAACGTCTCGCCTTCTACGCAGACAACACAGAAAAGCGACGACCGCGACACCTTTACTACAAAAATTGGAGAAATTTTGGGCACCCGGCTGAGCGATGTAAATTTCGCTCTCGCCCCCGTCAGACCAATCCGAGCTCTTGGTCCGGCCGACAAGACGCACGGAACGACACGTGTCAAGTCTAAGGCCTTCAGCCCTAGTTGCGCAACTTGAATCAAACGGTTCAGCATCAGCAGCCGTCCCAACCTGCCTCCGCCCGTAACATCGTCAGTAACATGATGACGACGCACACGAGCGGATCCTGCCGTCGCCGCGTACGCACGCCGTCACCCGAGCTGGCACGTCACCCCATTGGGGCATTCGAGGCCAACAACTCCGTCACTCCCCGACACAACTTCGGCGACGACGACGATGAGGATTGGACCCTCCCAATCCCGCTGCTTGAAAGCCCCCCGCACGTACCCAAATTGGGTCCCCCTTGACTCGATCTCGCACGAACAATTCCTAAAGTTTGACACTCTACACATCGTTACGCCGCGATTGGCGCTGCTCGCGCGCGACGACAGAAAGAGGTACAACACCTGGTACCTCGATAGCTGCTGTGGACAACACATGGTCGGTTCCGAGCGTTTTGTCTCTAACTCCGTCTCGACCCCTACGGTCAGTTACGTCACCGTGGTGAATAACACTCGCTTGCACGCAAGCGCGCAAGGCATCATTCTACTCAATGCGCATGGGAGCCGCACACATATCACGCTGAACGATGTGCTCGTCGTCCAGAATCTCCGCTTCAACCTCCTTTTGGCAGCACAACTCATGGATTACGGCGTGGAGTTAAGTACGGATTCCCGCACACACGACATTCTCCTGCACTACTCGTCACCAAGCACAGCGCGTATGCAGATCGGACCAGCACACTCTGAGAACAGAGTGTACATTCTCGACTGCAGCGGCAATTCGAACGAGTTAATTGATCTCGTCCCACTGCACTTCGAGCACATTCACCACTCCGACTGGAAGCACCCTGATGTGAGGCCGTGGGTGCCTCATCACCCACACCCGCGCAAAGTGGCGCTGCATGATCCTGACCCAGATGGTTTCTGCAGGGATTGCCACACGCTGACGGCATCAACAAATGCGATCGCCGGCCGTGGCCTCGCCGCCATCGCTGAAGCCGAACGATCTGCATTGCCAGAAGAAGGGATGACGGCGTTGGAGCTAGAAGTTACAACACAGCGCGTCTTTGGCGCTGAACAAGACCCATCCCTGGGCTCCTCGCTACAGTGGCTCCAAGAAATATTACGCAGACAACGTCGCAGAACCTTCGACGCACGTGGAGTGGCACGCCCCTACACGAAAGAAGAGTTCTTGAAGGTCTACCCCACTAGCGCAACCCCACGAAGAGGCTCACCGTCGTTCAGGAAGAGGAGCTTGTGCGGCGCGAAGCTGAAGAACTCTGTCAAAAGAGTCTCGCATTCGCATGGAGCGCATGGGGCTCCGAAGAAGAGGAAAGCGCCTCCAATGAAGGGGGGTGGGGAAGCACTGGCGGATGGGGAACGAGCGACACTGGTGGATGGGGCGCCGCAACTGGCGGCGGCACAGGTGGATGGGGCACTTTCGGTGAAGGAGCTCCTAGCGAGAAGAACAAAGGGGGAGAACGGAATAAGCCAAAGAAGCCAGACCACCTATTGTTCCCCCCGGTCGCCCTCCATGCCTTCCTGCACCTACGCTACCTCCGCCTGACGTCCAGCCACACCGCGACCCCTGGGACACCATCGACTGGGGCAATGAGCCCTCGACCCCATGTAGCACAGTTTACAGACCTGATTTCGAACCGCGCAAGCCTGCCTTCGTCCCTGGCACCATCCCCGGGACAAACATCCCGCTCTCTGTGATACTCGACAGGGAGTTTTCTGGCACTTATGCTGACGACGGCGAACGACGAAGACGAAGAAGAGGAAGCAGCACCAGCGGAACCTAGCCCAGTACCAAAAGAAGACCCCGAAGAAGTGTGCGCGCGCTACATGCGCGCCTCTAGATTCCGCGCCAGCGATGACCTTTGGCACCAGCGCCTTGGTCACTTCTCGCGCACGACGCTGAAAAACTGCATCGAGGCAGGCGTATTTGCGCCTGGCGCACTCCTGCGCCCCGACGATTCCGAAGTGAGAAGCACATCACAGCCGTGCAACTGCACCGTCTGCCCTGAAGTCACGTTGTGTCATCAACCATTTCCTCTGCTCGAACCAGGAACCAATCGTTACCCCAAGCTCCACAAGGTATACAACGACTTTCTCGTTGTCGGCCACTGCGGGCTCAACGATGAACAGTACACGCTCACGTTCGTTGATGCGGGAACCCGCTACGTGTGGGTCGTCAACGTTGAACTCCGCAGCAGGGTGTACGAGGTCTTCCGCCTCTGGTTGGTGCACGTGCAACGGCAATCCGAAGATTTGGCAA